CAACAAACACACCCCATGTGGGGGGATACCAGAACAAACTTCTCCAGTGACCGAGCACACATATTGATAAATATGCAGGAAGTTGGACTTTGGGGGTCTCTTAAAGCGATCTTTAAATGATACATGTATTTGATCACACACAGGAAGTATCAGAGGTCCATCACATTTTCATGTTTGTATATATATTGTATGTCAATCACATGAATTACATTCAGTATCCAAACAGAATCTTATTAAATTGGTGTTCATTTCGTCCCGGTCGGTCTGGGAATCGTCAAACATGTTACTTGATTATTATATCAATGCTAAAAAAATAATACGCTACTGAATACTATTTTTCTCGTTAAATGTAGGTGAATTGTTTTTGATGAAAATCAAAAGTTTCTTACGAAAGCTGATTACTACCCTCGTAAAAAATAGTATCTAGTTAATTGATATTAAGTCAATGAAATTAATAATGATCCGCAATAGATATTAGTAGACCCAGCCATTCACAGTCTGGGTCAACAGTCAATATTAGTTTTCTCAACCATTAGCATTAGTATAGAACAACTGCTGATATGCTCCGTCACGAACTCATTGAGGAAAGTTTACTTGCACACTCTTATAATTGAGTGCATGTTATGGCATAGCATTTTCGTTTTAATTTTACATACTCAGATAGTTTTAGAACAGAAATCCATAGGCTATTATTAGATGATTGTATTGTATTAGGGTGAAATGACTTAACTCTTAGCCTTACTGAGTATTAGATGTTTGCGAAACTTGTCCATGTCCAGCCGTTACACTGTCAGGGATATTATTTTGACGTCGAAACGCAATCAATTTGTCTCCAGTCTGTTCATCGATAAAATTATACGTATTACAATGTGTGAAATAGGCAAGACATTCAGGGATTTATTGTCAAGCTTTCGAGGGATACCTAATAACGTTAATAAAGATAGTTTTCTGTAGAAATGTAATCGTTCAAGCTAGTATGAACATGTAAATTGATTGAGGTTTCCCATATATAAACAGATGATCTACTACGATTATTAATATTTTAGTTGACTCATAAAATATCTATATTGGATTTTGCATGACATGTGAAGACATTTAAAATGGGCATGCACATTCATGTTACAATTAATAAGTTGTCTTAATATTGAAAATGTTCATTACAACGTGTCATGCATCATTGATCAGACATGTGATATGGTCTTCGTTTAGTATCTGTAGACATTACAGATTGAAGAAAACAATACAAAAGGTTAATTTTCACCCTAAATATAGTTACCTAGCTATCAAGCTCTACAACCATTATATCAAGGCTTAAATACAAAAATCTTTCTTAGCATTATCTTGGGGCCTAGATACAACAAGGTTCCCCAATGTAATATCAGGGCCTATATTTAGGAAGCTACCTAGTCTAGAGTAATATCGGGGCCTAGATAAAGAATGCTTCCCCAGCCTTATATCAGGGTATTTATCTAACAAGTTTCCCCATCGTAATATATGGTCTAGATATAGCCAGCTACCTTGTCTAGAGTAATATCGGGACCTATATAAAGAATGCTTCCCCAGCCTTATATCAGGGTATTTATCTAACAAGTTTCCCCATCGTAATATAGGGTCTAGATATAGCAAGCTTCTCACCGTAATATCAGGGTCTAGATATAGCCAGCTACCTTGTCTAGAGTAATATCGAGGCCTATATAAAGAATGCTTCCCCAGCCTTATATCAGGGTATTTATCTAACAAGTTTCCCCATCGTAATATAGGGGCCTAGATATAACAAGCTTACCCAATGTAATATCAGGGCCTAGATATAGGAAGCTACCTAGTCTAGAGTAATATCGGGGCCTAGATAAAGAATGCTTCCCCAGCTTAATATCAGGGTCTTTATCTAACAAGTTTCCCCATCGTAATATAGGGTCTAGATATAGCAAGCTTCTCACCGTAATATCAGGGTCTAGATATAGCCAGCTACATTGTCTAGAGTAATATCGGGGCCTATATAAAGCATGCTTCCCCAGCTTAATATCAGGGTCTTGAACTAGCAAGCTTCCCATCGTAATATCAGGGTCTATATATAGCAAATTTCCCTGTCTAGTGTAATACCATGGTATACATATAGCAAACCTCGCTAGCGTAATATCAGGGCCTAGATATGGCAAACCTCGCTAGCGTAATATCAGGGCCTAGATATAGCAAACCTCACTAGCGTAATATCAGGGCCTAGGTATAGCAAACCTTGCTAGCGTAATATAAGGGTCTAGATATAGCAAGCCTTGTTAGCGTAATATAAGGGTCTAAATATAGCAAACCTCGCTAGCGTAATATCAGAGCCTAGATATAGCAAACCTCGCTAGCGTAATATCACGGCCTAGATATGGCAAACCTCGCTAGCGTAATGTCAGGGCCTAGATATAACAAACCTCCCTAGCGTAATATCAGGGCCTAGATTGTAGCAAGCATAGTTAGCGTAATATAAGGGTCTAGATATAGCAAACCTCACTAGCGTAATATCAGGGCCTAGGTATAACAAACCTTGCTAGCGTAATATAAGGGTCGATATCAGGGCCTATGTATAGCAAGCCTTGCTAGCGTAATATAAGAGTCGACATCAGGGCCTAGGTATGGCAAGCCTTGCTAGCATAATATAAGGGCCTAAATATATACAGTTTCCTATCATACTATCAGGGATTTGATATAGATATAACAAACTTCCCTAGTGTTGTGTCAGATAATTAAGGTATGTGTTGCATTTTATATGCTACATGCATATCGTTGCTCTTTATCTCCATTTAAAGCCTTCATTATCATTAGCTTCCGACATGTGAATATTTTAATGCACACATTTGTATGTACACGTACATGTACCTCTGAAATGTGTCTTGCATTAATTAACCAATTTTAAATTCACATTTACATTTTAAAAAGCTGTTTTACAAATGTCGTCCTGGAGAGCTTTTTAAAGAGGCGTTGGGTATCAGAGCAAAGTAACATATATTCTAATCAACTTTTCATGTTTTTCTGTTTGTGAGTTACTATAGTTACATAACAACGATAATTTTGAATGTTAAAACTGTTCTTTTTTTCTAATTTCAATAATCTTGGAAATACCAATGGTTAAAAAGTGTGTTTTGTCATTTGTTACGTTATGTAATGAAGACCACCACAAAGGAGTCCTGGAATCCACCCAGCTTTATTATATTATAACTCATTAACCGAAATGATTCAATTGCTCTTAAGTCTTTAAAAAAAAGCGGTACTTTGTACCCTCGTGAATATCAGGCTAAATCAAGTCATATATTTTTATAATTACTTTTATTCGGTTTGCACATATACTTGATGACATATGTGATATAAGATTTCCATAAGTGATACGAATAACTGGTCCCTGATGAGGCCATACTGCACAGAAGTGTTTCGTAAGGGGGGCATATTCAGAGGAGGTCGTGATATAAGTCTGGTTTTTATTTACACCCAGGGTAGATTTAAGTTCAAGTACCATATTCGGGAGTTAGAGCACCAGAACGTGATAAAGAACACATATGTTATCGAGGATAAATACGGATCCGAAGGGCTTTTTAATTATTCAGATAACTGTGTAAATCAATGGTTTGGTTTACGCTGGTCTTCAGTAGTTATTGCATTAAACGTAAGTTGGTGTTGACATATCTGAACTCAACCCGGCCTGGTGGTAAACAGATCACCCTTGAGCAGATCTGTAGCTATAGACTGGACTACAAACTGGTGTTAAGTAAGTGTAGAACGTAATACGAAACTTGTTTGAATTAATCAGTGCATTAACTTTGAGTAGGTATACATCTACATTGGCAATACTTTAACGAGCATTCCTGGACTTGAGTGATTCTATTGGAATACATTGCTAAAGTCAAACTCTTAAGCTAAGTTAAATTCTTTAACGTCAGCAATGCTTTCTGATGGAAGAAATGGCCTGAAACTCGTGATTAATTGTTGCTGAACTTCATTTGAACTTGTTATAAATACTCATGGCCCAGTTTCACGAGTGTTCCGTATATTAAGGTGATTTTTAAGTTTAAAGTTTTGTTTTCTTAGTAAATTTATATTAGATGTACGGGGAAAATATAAAGTTAAGGATTCCTCAAGATTTGTACATTTTTATTATTTGTTTGGTATTTAACGATGTCACAACGAGTGACAGACAACAAGCCATAAGAGACATGATATGAATCTGACCACTGCTGTCTGAGACAACAAATCCAAGGTATCACGAAGTGGTCGGTAACTTTAACGTTTATAATAACCAAATATGTCCAGTCTATGAGGATAGGGGATTGTTTGGTACTCGTCACGTGAAGTGGTAGGGCAGACACTAGTTGGTTGATATGACGGGTATATGATTGTGTTTAGATACTAGGAATAGGGCATTTCCTATCAATCGATATGTTACCCATATGATGGATACGGTGATACAAGTCAATATTTGTATGTGAGAGTCTTGTCTGACAGGGTGGAGGGACATACCTAGACCAGAGTTGGTCTCCAGGATTCGCAAGTCGTAGGCGGAACGTTCGGCTCCAAATTTATAGTTTGACAAAACCCTAGAGCTCAAAACAGCTAATCAGACAGAAAAACGAAATTGAAAACTAACACACGGTGCCCAAAGAAGATAATATCGCTGTGTCAATATGTCATTCTGAAAACTTTAAATCCTTTGTAACTGAGTACAATGCTTCAGGGTGTCTAGCTAAATCTAACAAGCATATATATATATATATCTGTGTGTATTGGCGATCAGCGAAACCGTCCTAGAGACAATGGTCACCTATTAAAGTTATCCTCTCTGAAGCGGCCTCGCTCTTAAAGGCGCGTCTTCCATTATCTTCGACTTGCTACCGATCGATCTGGAGAATGTCCGGCCTACAGAGATCGATAATTGGCGCATTTAAACAAGCGTGATAGGTTTCCACCCCTGACACGGGTATGTATTATCGTTACTGAGTGAGAGTGTGTTGGATTATAAAGGTGGACATGTTGAGCCCTCTTGCGAGCCACTCTGGACGTGTTCAAGTTGTATACGGCCCGTTGCGTATTGTTATCACACTGATTATACTTTGCCAAGAACTATTTTGTAATTGTTCGGTCGTCACGCTCTCTAGAGAAACATGCGATAAATCTCTTTGAACATTTATGTAAGCCACAAGCGTGGGACTTTCTTGGAACAGGTTTTTACCTTGATTTTTATTGTGTTGAATGGATTCAGAGATGCTTGTGTACTGTGGATAGCATTCAATTCTGGGATAAATGGCGTATGGCAATATATTGATGTGATGACGTTCTGAGAATGAAATCAGCTTTAGACATAGAACGATTACTGTCATGGTAAGGTTTTAATATATTTCTGTAAACCTTTTGTAAAGTTCATGAAAAAAAACCATCCGACAAATTCTCTTTGTAATTGAATTTGTAATGTAAATTATATGTATATGTTTTCAACAATAACATTAACTTCGATAGTATTTAACATACAACATCAATTATACCTGTTTATTTAACACATTCAAATGAAATTGTCCTCTCCATTGAGCAAGTTTAAAAGGGCAAGCTTGTGAAGGTTGAGAAGTTCGTACTTTCGCTCCCAACAATACACATTTACATGGTATATGACACACGATATTTCTGCAGGGTGATTAATTGAAGTTCGTGTTGTAAGAGTAGATAAATTACACGCTGACTACACGGGTACACAAACATACAGTAACAAGCGTCGCTGTGAAAGGAAAGAGAATTATCAAGACCTGTTATCGGAGATCTCTAGTACAGTTCACTCTTAATGGCCATTGTTAACGAGAAAGGCCAGCGCTGCCTAGTGCTTTCTCTAATTGTATCTAATTCGTAGTATTTCTATAATCAAAAGGCAATCTTTTTTTTGCATTCATAAGAGGTATTTGTGTAAAGGTCTTTTACGAGCATCGACAAGTTTAGGCTTGGTAAAAGAGTATTTGCACTCCGCCGAAATCTCATTTTGTTTACATTTAATTACGTTGAGATGAAAATCAATTACCAAATATATTCAATATAATGTAAATACTAATCCAATATCTGTGTTAATGTCTGTATAAAGGTGGTTATCGTCTGTACCCACTGAACCGCCCCGTGTGGTGACAGCTTGAGTAAAGGATCATATTGAAGGGAGTAATATAATATGTTATAATCTACCGCGCTCGGACTAAAAGTGGGTGATTATGGACTTTTTCTTTACTTCTTCTTTACTTCTTAACGATATTGTCAGTCGATTACGCTCAGTGACATAGCTGTAAAGAATACCCGTCTACCCGTGTGTGTCTAGCTTGTCAAAGTGTCTTTTACCTTAAATATCAATATCGGTAGTCGTTTTATGCTTGTATCCCGTGGGTAAAATTTGTATTAAGATGTTTGTCAACAATTTTAGAGAAAAATAACTGGGTTTCGGATTAATTTTGGGAGACGACTCATTTATCTTTTTAATTGTGATATGCACAGGGGTGCATGTCTTCATTTGAATTTACTAAATACGTATTTTAAATTCAATATTTCATACATTTGTAGGTAATTTGTATCTAAAATCCCGATTATTGTAATATTAATCTTTTTAGGTTACATTCGTATGTTTTTAATGCTTTTAATTAACCAACTATGAAATCATAGCAAATATCATACGCAAAAATTACATCATGTTTAATTCATATCTGTGGCTTTTTATTTTTTATTTTTTTTTAAATATTCTAATTTTGATAATTTGAAGCCAATCATATAAGTATTTTACATGTATTTGAAATTAATATGACCAACATGACTATACAGTTTTGTCATATTGAAACATTACCATTGAAAGGTATGCATGATTCTTTTGATAATTTCTTAGGAATGAGTGAAATTGGAGACTTAATTCTATTTTTTACACCTGAAATATATCTCGCCATATAAAACAAATATGCAGCTATAAATTCCGGAATTAAGTTAATTATTTCTGGCTCATTTATATATGTGTTTACCATATGATTTCGGAGTTTGTCTAGTGAAATTAGTATTTGTATTGACAGTGTACATGTACTGCACACAGGTAATACATTAATTAGTCTAATTACTGAGCGTTTGTCTACCTCCTTAGATCTCAGATTGAGCCAATATACATGTAATTGCTAGGGTCCATGATTTCATGGGCGTGGTAATGTCGCTCACCCCTCTCAGACACTACTTGACTTAGATATGGTCGTTCTGTGATTGTCCTAGTCAGGTGTCGGTGACCAGCTTATTTTCAGCGCTCAGTGTATAATATAGGTCACATGATAGCAGGAACGTCGGATTATCAATGTTAAAGAGTTTATGATTACCATAACGGAAGATTTGTACAAAATATCATTATTCCCTATATGAAAACCTGTAATCTGACTGGTCGAAATAATAATATTTTTCAATCATTGAGTCATCTGAAGAGTGCTTCGCAGCGCTATAGCAACGGGTGACAGTAAAAATGTTGACTGCGCCGACAAGATGCGCATACGGTTGCAATTGGTTTCAGCTGCCATGCTGTTTTTCTAGAGTGATTGATTCAGAATGGTTGTAGTAGCCAGGTATTTTACACTTACATATGGTAGACGTTTTAAAATTACTATTCCTTTTGTTTGATAATGGCATGAACACCACATTTGTTATATACTGAACATATTTTGGTCATTGACTTTCGATATAATAAGATAAACACTAAATTCATTGTAGGGGGACATTGTATAGGATCACCCTGTAGGTATCACTATCACTGTTATCCTAGGCACTATCGTCCTTTAATGAATACATGCATGTAGTATTTACATAATGGGTGTTCGGGGGAAAAGTGTATTATGTTAAAACTAAAACACACTGTACATGTATTATAACTATATAGGAGTTTTCGAGAGAAAAAGTCCAGCAGTGATGTATCAATAAAGGCTTACGTTGCCCAAGCGTAAATGAGTGGATAGTATAGTGTATAACATTGAGTAGCTTGTATTATAAACTGTTCGGAATTACCAATAGTGACAGGTACACTTCACTTCACTTCCGTACATTTAATAGCCTACTGTCATTAATAACTCCAGTTTCTACGCCGTGAACGTAGTACCGCTATTTTCCGTACGTACAGAACGTGAAAGCTTTTACAATAGTGAAGAGGGGCGTGAACCCTCGTGCAATGTATTCAGCACAGGGCCTTCACCGAACATATTTACGGGATATCTGAGCAAATACAAGCTCATATTTACCATTTAAAATAAATCTGAAATCTATACCACTACCAGGCAACAACTAACAAATGATAGAAGTAAATGCTAAATGGAGATTCGGTAAATATTGACTCTAAAGTACTACAGGAAGGTGTGTGACAATCGCAGATTGGATTGTGTTAGGGTACTGTTCATAAAGCCTCATGTACGTATAACATTGTCTATATATACGGGTTGGTTGTCGGAAAGCGAACATGGCCAGGTAAGAAATAGTTTTTATAAAATGTATGGTTTTGGAATAACACGTAATGTTAGAGGAGCTAGATAGAAGATAACGAAGGTCAAAAGAACAAAGTGTTCGACCAGAAGAAATGTATACATTTGAGGAAAATGTCCGATGGTTGCCATCTTGACAGTTTTAATTTGAGGCCATAACATGTAGAATCAAAGAATTCGCAGCATGTTCATGTTTATGCTCGCAAATATAAACGTATTTCAAATAGTCAGGCTTTTCCTCAAGTGATGCCGAATGACCAAATATGTCTTCATAAATACCTCTAAGGGACCATGCAGTAGCTCCTTTAGTCATATTCACACACAACAAATGATAACTTGACCACCGTATCTCCTTGTACGTGGGGCAGATGTATTGTATATAAATTACAATAAGATATGTTTAAAACAAATCGTGGGGCAGATGATATATGATAAAATTGGATTGTGAATGCATGGACCGTTAGATATATCTTCGACTGTTTTGGGTACACATTGTGATTTTGTATGTTTGACATATCATGCGCATGTATTGGACATTAAAGAGGTATAAATGTATGAAGTGGTCAATTAGCTCAAGCAGTACCTATACTTTTCCTCGAGTGGAACCGATCGCCGTGTAATTGAACCCCGTGTCTTTTGTATACCACTGTGTACTACAGGATCCTTTGTAGCTAAAGCCTGTTTGTCTTGCTGACATTCGAATATTTCGTTAAGTGTATTTCTACAGTTAAACTTTTGACTTACCTACATGTACACTTCATAATTTGTATATATGAAATATCTATGTATATTTATATATTTTCCAGATCTTGAGGTGATCACATGACCGGCGCCATGTCTGGACAGCGCCGCCTAGATAATGACCACGAGAAGGCGGTCATCCGGTACAAGTTGAAGCAGCAGAGGACCCTGGAGAAGTCAATGCAGACTCTTCAGCTAGAGAAGGATTATTCAATTAAACTGCTTAACCTTGACCACAGGATCGTCAAGGTCAACTACAAACGCCTCAAGGATAAAGTGTCGCGTATAAAATCAAACCTAAACGCCGATGAAATCTCAACATTGAAGGACTTGGACGCGAAAGGCAAGCTGAAGTGTTACAGTAACACTGTGAATTTAAGTAGTGCGCTCAAAATCGCAGCGGCCGCCAAGAGACTCAAGCTTCAAGGCCAGCCGACACGTGCTGTGAGTGTGTACCCCTTCCCTATAACGGCCATGGACAGTAAGAATGGCACGCCCCGCCCCGAAACTGTTCCTCCCAGACTAGGCCGGAGTAATTCCGTCACAGGGGCTTTCATTGATGCTCCAGAACCTCTGTTGCATAAGCGACGTAACTCAATCGATGGTGGACGACCTACAAGTGCTGTGAACGTTGTGGCGACTGAAAATTCTGTTAAACGTGCGCGCCCTCAAACGGCAATTCGCCCTTCTGGACAACCTCCAAGGTCTCCAACCACGACGGTCATGCCGTCTCATTCTTTATACTCTTCGCATTCTGCTGTCGAGAAAGACATTCGCGTGCAAACAGCGCCTGCGCCCACCGCGTGTTTCTCTGATGACTCCATAGATAGCAACCTAGGGGAGGACTTGTACGAGGAGCGGCGACAGGAGATGCTACTCGAGGAGGAGCTCCGCTATAAATCTCTCAAGGACAGGAAAAATGATTTTATGGTGAGGCTAAATGAGTATATCGCGGCTAACCCTTCACCGGACTGGACTAACGCCGTAGCACACTTCGATTTTCCGGACAGTACGGTGGAACGGGAAGAGGAAGTGGACGACGACGACGAGGATGACATGCCCAGTATCCGACCCAAACCAAAGAAGAGACTACTTCCGGGAAGGTCACGTCTAAACATGGCCACCTCATTCTCAAATGAAGAAGTGTACAAACAGAAAATGTTAGAACTCTGGAAAGACTTGAATAAGTGTCGGTACCTGAGAGTGCCGGACGAGAGGATAGATTTATCCGGCGTGGATACTTCGGCAAAGAGACAGGTGAAGCTTTATCAAATGCTCAAGGACCGGGATGGCCAGGCAGTGGCCTGAAGTCTGGGATATAATCTATACTCGTCATTTTCGAACATCTATACCAATGTCATTAGGTCGCTTTTGTTGTCATTTATTTGTATGATCTATTGGAATTTTGTAATGAGACAACTAGAACAATACGCTGCCTCTATTAACCTGTGTATATATTAGGTGCTTATTTATTGTGAAAATGGTCATAGGAAGGTTGATTCTACGAGCGTAAAACTATCCAGCAGTGATGATCTCCCGGACGTTTCTAACACCAGACAGCAGGCGTCTACTCCGGGATCCGCGGAGCACACAACAGCAACACTGATGAGTTGAAATGATTCGCATGCCCGTTTTGTGTTTTTAAAAGTCTTTCTTACGTAGTAAAATCTGTCTGCCTAGTACGGATTATGACCTGCTGTGATTAACGGTGTGAAAGTCTCGGTATAACAAACAGTAGTGTTATGAGATTAAGACTAAGCTTAAGTGCTATGTAATGCATTGGGTAATGGTAGGTAATCACTTTTCTTGTGTTACATTGTTATTAATGTGAATTTGGGGATATATCGGTAAGTAGCAATATAATGGAGTCACGTGTCAAATCAACCGTCTTCCATTCACTGCTGACTATGTACAGCGATTGACACTTTGCAATTATGAACTACGTCAAATGGAGCATACAAGTAGATTATGACTACTACGGATGTCATACGCGCATTTTGTATTGCATGTACACATATTCTGTATACGTCATAGAAAATAATGTACTCAATCAACGTGATGATGTCAGAAAGTACGTGTACATGCAGACTTTTACGTCATATTTACGTGAACACAAACTTTTTACATGTGACGTCATGATGGCGGACAAATATTACAGGAATGTTCAAACGCCACTTTGACTCATCGTCAAGGTGTCGGATATGCTACATGAATTCATACAAACATTTCATTACGTCATTCGCAAGCAATATATAGATAACATTGATGGGTGTGGTTGTGACTGAAATACTGGGTAGTGGTACACACACTAACTAACATCAGCACGGCATTACATCGGTAGCGGTCACTAACACAAACGTTATGTATTAATAAAAAAATGTTTACACGTTGTATTTACAGTGTATTATATGTGAAGTTTTCACCGTATTAATTACGTGTGCGGACGTTTTCTGAGAATGGTTTTGAAAGTGCTCGTCAGCTTTGGATATTATTGGTGTTGCACATTTGGACATTCTACAATTAATGCCTTTTGCAAATGAATACGAGTATCACCAAATCAAACGTTACAAGAATTCTCATCGTCAAGGGTAGATACAACCAAATGTAAATCATTGTATTCACAACATCAAAGTAAATAGCTTGTTTGATAACCAAGTAGTAACATTTGATATGTACTGAAAGAATAGTTTGGTTAAAGAGTTATTAGCAATTATTACCTTCCAAGTCATATAATGAAATTTAATAAATGCTGAAAGTGCAGTTTTTATCATAAAGTGTTATTAACAAATATCGACTTCCAGCATATCATTACTTCCAATATTATAACGCATATCAGCAAATCCCTGCGAGCAATGCCAACAGCGGTGACGCACGAAGACTTAGGCCTAGGTGGTCTGTCTTATTACCTTACAGACAACTTAACCCAAGTTATTCATCTAGTACATAATACAAAATCGAAATTCAAATCCAAAACTATCTATACAGATTTAAAAGTATTACTTAGAGACAGGAAACACACAAAAAAAAGAATAAAAAGTTTCAAATATTTGGCAAAAGATTAGTTTGTATTACATGTAATGAGCTCCTAAGCTAATCTGACATAGAACAGTCTTGCTGAGAACGTCAATGATAAGTAAAATGATCCTTCACGCTCTCACCCTGTAATATAAAACTATAAATCATATCTTTGCTTCTACGAAGGTATGGACAACCGATATGCACACTTTTAAAACATATAAATAGTATGAAAAACACATCATTGACGTATCTGGCGATTCCTACTGTACCCGGATGCGTGAATTAAACATTGACCCACAAACGACCGTTTCTGAGAGTTTATTGTTGTACCACCAATATAGGCCGTAGGTAGTGCCACTGAATTTAATAGCACTGATGATGATGAAGGATACGAAGGTATTGACAGATATATTAATGAAAGAAAATATATTTTATGTACTTAAATTGTTTCTCAGAGATTCTTTGTCGAAATGGCCACAAGTTTTGCAGAGAGTTCAATGGAAGTTAAGAAAGTTTCAAAAGAGTTGGCGGAACTGTAAAATGTAACACCTATATACCGTATGACTACTTGCAAATACAGTACTTTATATAGGAAATGAACTTCTCTTAATAATGCATCAGCAAAACCTGTTGTAATGATGACGTGCTGGTAGTGCAGTATTAGAGAACATCACCAGTGTTAATAGCATGTACCACAACAAACACAGGGACATGAGAACAAACAATTGGGTGTATGGTTGGAACTATCTTGATACATCATCAGTTTATAAAAGTTTCATTGCCTATATATGATTGTACAAGACGTATGAAAATCATCGGAGTTTGAAAACAGGCGCGTGCACCTAGCCCGAGTATCCTCTGGCCCTAACACCAGACTTAGACTTTTTGACATACAGATATGTCAAAAAGTCTAAGTCTGGTGTTAGGGCCAGAGGAAACTCGGGCTAAGGCCCACCCAACTTTCTCTTTACAAAAATTACGTTTCTGGTGTGTATATGCAAAATGTATTTCCACACGTATGCATGTTCTCCATATCCTCCTCAAACACGCAACTGCGAGAGTTTTGTGTCACTTTCTACATAATCATGAGATTGACGTCACATAGACAATCGCTCACGCTAATACGTCCATCTTTTTGGCTGATTGTTTTGAGTATGCTCTTTCGGAACACTCATGAAATATATCCTGCTATATATGTATGATACAAGGGACCTAGAATATCATATATATATATTTGATGGTTTATACTTTCGCTTTCATTTATTTGAGTATAACTTCTCAATGGCCAAGCAATATTTGTTGGGTAAAAAAAACACCATCATATTGACGGATGAGGATTAATTACAGTTGAAACAAATTCAATTTTAGTCACATAATGAACACAGTGTTAGAGATACCCGTGTTAACACTAATACGGTTGTTTGAAAAGAAATTCGATATTTCATACATTTCATAGCCCAAAGTAGGCATTAATATTTCTTACGTAGAAAGGTATCCACGTAATTAAGTGTTGCTTACATTTGTACATGTAAGGTAGTGGTCTCCATAACAAAGATGTTTTGATTGTGTATCGACCCGCTATTAATTATACCTAACAGCCATCGGTAGTTCGCCATCACGTTATTTATCCCTATCTGATACCAGCGGCCGTTCGATACACCTCCAACAGTTTACCCAGCGTTTATATCCACCTACCCGGAAAGATTGAGCGGTCTGTAATGGCCGCCAGTACGCTCCGCTTGTACTGGACAAAGAGGTTCTGTGACACAGGGTGGGTAAGACATTATGTTTGTACACAAGACAGGCCACACGTGTTTCCAATGTGTAACGACCTGTATTAGGTTGTATCCTGAAGGAATCATTTTCATGAAGTCTTATCAGCTTTTAAATCTATAAACTTAGATGGGCATTGATACATGTAATTTATGATGAAGAAAATTATGACTTTAACGTTAGTGTTTAGAGATAAAGTTATCACCGTTGGAAACAGTCTGTGAAATCTCTCACATTAACAACTGAATCTGAAATAAAATCAGTTTAAAAACTGAGATACTTAAACTACTATAATCAAGCTAACAAGCTTTAAGTTAATGAGTATTAAGTTGCATGTATGATTTATCGAATAACTGTTTACATTTTAAAAATGTTAACCAAAAAACCAAATACACGTTCATAGTTAAAATCATACACGAACAAATGATAACCAACAACTACAACCAGTTTTGAAATAAAATTGACTTATGCTAAGTCGTAACTAATTCATGGCTATAATCTTGCCATATCAACTTTCACTCATCTACATATATGATTGCCACGGTTCTGATTCATCTTGGAACTTTTACACTAGTTTTTATTTTACTCAAAGTTTTCTTTTCCTGGTATCCGATGCATGTACATACACACAGACATACTGCAAATAAAAAATTAAAATACCGCGTTTCCATGGATTTATCAAGCCAGTCAATATAAATATACAGGCCGTGAATATCTTAGGTTTTCAGGTTGATTATAATTATGGGCTGATATAACATGTCTAGTGGTTTTTTTTAAATTTCCTGAGCCAAAGGCTGGTTTAAACATAGACAATAGTGTATAACAATAGAGTAAGATGTATATTACATCTTTTCACATGTATCACTAGGATTGCAAGAAAAAATAAAATACTTTCCAGCTCAAAATACTGGACAATCTGAAATGGTTTATTCAAATAATTGAGATTAATCAAATAACATTAAATGTCAAAAAAATGAATGTATATGTTATTGCAAAGCATGCAGTGCTAAAATTATAGTACATATAACTATTGTAACAAGTACGTGAGTTATTCCCCTTGGCACATGCAAATACAAAAAAAATCAGAGACTGACTATTTTTTAGTGTTGTCTACTTGCCCTAACCGGCCATCATTGACCTTGCCTGTTACGAGGATATAAAACGTCGAACAAAATGAAACGTTAACCGAAATAGACAGTTTTGCAGGACATATCTTACAATTCTACTAAATTGTTTGTTTTACAAGCGAACACAAAGCAGACAGCTGATTATTTATTATACTTAAAAAAATCAACGTATGTGCGTGTATTATGATGGAATATATAACGAAGGTGAGAGAATTTTGGAAAAAATAAGCAACATTTTCGAATCCCGAGTTATATAATCTATGTTGATTATATCTATTCTACCAAGTAAAATGTAATGAAAGTCTTTCCGTGTCTACCTCAGTGTCCATACGCCTATGATAATGTGACCGTTATTATCTAATTCTTTGAATTAGGCTGCTCTTTTGCGCGCGCTAACATTTGTCACGTGATGCCTATATGTTTTAAATTCAGTATGCATAGGCACCTTGGAGTAACATTCAATTCAGATGCAAAATGGTCAGATCAAGTAAGTGAAATCTATAAATCGGTAATGAAAAAAATAAATATTTTGCGAAAACTCAAATATATATTGAAGCGGGATGCTCTCTTAAGAATTTACAAAACTTATATATTACCAGTTTTAGAATATGCATGTGAGGTTTGGGATGGATATACTCTGGTCGATTCTGAAAAGTTAGAGAGAGCTCAACGTAGCTAGAATAATTACAGGTTTACCGTCATATGCTAGAAATGAATCTTTATATACAGAAACTGGTCTTGAATTACTTTCGGATAGAAGAAGAAGACGCAAACTTCAGTTAATCTACAAAATGGATAGGCATCAAACCCCGAACTACCTAACAAAAACAGACATGCTCTTAGAAATAATGATTACTACAAAATTCCCAATTTTAGACTCTCTACTACTAGTTCATCTTGTTTTCCTTCTTCATCAAAAATGTGGAATACTATAGACTATAATATTAGATCCATGTCTTTCTCATCTTTCAAATCAGCTTGATATACAGTACCCCCTCATTACCTACGTGGTGCCAGAAAACTAAACATTCTTCATACCACTAAGACACGAATGCAGTCCTCTCAAACATGAACTTTACCGTGCAAACTTGGTCCAACACTCTAATTGTATAAATTGTTGCTACCATTGCGAAAATGCCTATCACTTCTTCTTTGAATGTCACACTTATACAAATGCTCGTACTGTACTTTTTGATCGTATAAATCATTTACATTTAACGCTGAAATTATTACTGTTTGGAAATGAAAATCTGGCTTTGGATACAAATTGTAATGTATTCAAACAAGTGCAAACTTTTCTTAGATCCAGTGGAAGATTTTAACATGTTTCGATTATGAAGTTGACTTTAAAATATATCTTTTTTTGGATGTGTATGTGTTACTTTAAAAATCGCTTCATACTATTATGAATTGTAATTGACAGTCTATATAATCATCTGTTGTTTTGAATTATTGTTGTAAGGAGATGGCTTCATAACTTGTATAAACTTGTGCCAAATCCTATTTTCCAATTTTGGTTGATAAAATATGTTTAAAGTCAAAAGTTTTAAATTCACAATAAGCTGCGTGTTTAACATTTCTGATCAAGTGGACTGTTTTTCTATTTTGTTTTTATAACCTGGATACTCGGAAAGGATATTTTTTATTTGCAGTGACCATTTGGTCGACAAACGATAAATAATTAACACTGACGTCATGCTTTATACAAGAACTTTATTTCAATCAATATAATCCAACTTCCTATTGTCATTTCTCTCATTGAAGCAGCATTTGATAGATTTACAAGCACTATTTCAAGTCACCTTCGCGTTAGGCTCAGCGGATCATTATGACCTGAGCTCAACAGGTTTAAGGAGGTCTAGAGTTTCAATAGAAATCTCTCACTTGTCCGCTGTTTCAATAATATATAAAAAATAAATGCCGGAAATTTCATTAGACAAATGAAACCAGTCCCCCAACGCGCTTATTAACACTTGTCAGGATGTTTTTATGAAGAGCGTTGCACGTGCATGGTCTTTTGCGAAATAATACAAGCATGCGCATGGTCTATCGTCCAATAATACGTGGTTATTCACCAATCAAAAGTGTCGTTACATCGCAAACGTGGTAGAAATAAAATTAGTTATGACCATGTGACTATATTTTCGTTAGTGTAAACATTTTTTTTCTTTCTTAAATTGTACAATATGAAATAACTCTGGAATTTTGTTTATTCAATTATGATTGGGGGAAATAAACGAAAGCTAATTCCAGTTCTTCACCTCTCCCCTATAATTGACCGAAGAACTTATCTTCATGTTATACAAGAAAAATAATTCAATGATAAATCATCACATAGTGATAAAGCTAAATCAATTATTCTGTTTATACATATGGCAGGCCAACTTATTATTTACTACCTAAAAAGATTTAAAAAAAAAAGACTGATTGAGATTTTTTTCTACTGACATATGATACAGTATATCCGATAAATGGTTAAGATATCTCATTTAATTTCAATTATATGCGATATTTCTAGTACATTTAACGATAAATTCAGTTCAAAATATTGTTTATGAATTTGAATACTCTCTCTTCCACTTAAATTTAAAGAAATGTGTTCCCTTTTCACCCCTTTAGGTTTTAAACGTTAAGCTGACTATGGTACTAAGTACATTAATATTGTTTCAATTAAACGCTTTTTATGGTCGAATTCATTCGCATGCACGCATTGCAAACCTAGCTATTAGGAAGTTGGTGCAATTCCAAACACTACAGTCACACTGCATTTCATGGATGCTCTTACACTTAGCTGTAGCTTTAAATGTTTTTCGTTGGCAGTACGGTGTACTATTTTTTCCCATACAGACTTGTCTCATAAAGCGACGTCTTCACACAAGATGCTAAATGTATTGTTAAAGATTAAATAATTGTGAACAAAACCTTTAAAAAACGACGACGACCTTACAAAGTATTCTTAATCAAGTACATTCGAATGTCAAATAATTAACTCTTCATCATTATGTCCTAAATTCCTCTGAATACCAGAGTTACTTCCCTTACTTGAACAATTCACTGAACGAAACTTGTGTGGAGGAGGGGAGATAACTGCAACCGTATAATCATACCAGGATAATATTTCCCATAGACTTCCATGTGCACGTTAGGTAAGTTAAACAAAACGTGTAACAGGCATAACGGAAATAATAATGTCTTTCGGCTACTCACATTTCATTGATCATACGTATTTATTAAGAAAATTTATTGTCAGCTAGTAAGCAGGCTCCAAAAATCATAAATGCGGACATGTCTTCTCTTAAAGTTTTGTGCAAATAACATCCATCGGCCTATTACTTGGTATGATACCGTACTGTAGATTCCTATATGGTTAGACAGTATTATGATATTTTATTGTGATTTTTTTTTTAATGAAAGAGTAAAACATTTAAAACCAAAACACTGATTCACATTTAACTCGTGCATCCAAGTAGCGTTTTAACAATTCTACTTTACGTTCACACAAATTCAGCTTAACAAATGTATACCTAGACTTATTTGTTAAGCAAATCATTTAGTCGATGCCTTTGAGTGTTTTCATAAGCTGAATTTGATCTGTTCCGAGAGTGCGCATGCCCGAATGATCGATCATTTCGTTGGGTATCCGCAGGTAACGACACTTATTGATGCCGTTCCACGCCACGTTGGGGTCAGGATCTTTTTTGGCCTGTCTCTCGAACGCAGCTTTGTTGTGTTGATATTTGCACTTTCTCCTGTTTTTGAAATACGTGGCAGGATCAAATGTTACCACAGTGGGTTCCTCAAAAGTTTTCCTAAAGCGAAGCGGTTTGAACCATTCTGGTATTACCTTGCCCGATCGTTCTAAATATTCGTCCATCTTATTTAAGAAAAGAGTCATTTTGTCCTCTATCTTTGAGAATTTTAATTTCTCCAGTTTTATAAGACTTTGGCGAAATCCGTGCAGCACGTTCTTACTAAATATATTTTCTGCGGCAACACGCTCTAAGTATTCCGTCATTGCTTCCTCGAATGAAGAATACACTTTGGAAGGTAATGTTACGTCTGGTTCTTTTGCATTATTTTCTGTCACAATTTTATGAGAATCGAAATGGAATTTTAGTGATGGCTTTTTTGGTATTTTTGTGCGCACAGCTATCCTGCTTGGTGCCGGTACTGTGGCATCATGGGTAACGTACTCTGTTTGATCAGGCACTTGCCTTCTCCTTTCTGCAGGAGCAGTTGGTGGCCTTGGAGAATGTACTATAGCCTGAGCGACAACATGGTCTTGTCCTGTATTGGTGGGATATTTCTCCAGCTGTGGCCTGTGTTGTGGTGTTGAAGGCAGCATCCTGGCCGTCCGAGGTCGTGGAATGTTACGTTTTGTGGCAGGCGGATCTCCAACAGAGACATGCGTCCGTGCCGTTGTTGGCCTCTGCATCGGTCGTGGCGGTTTGGCGCTGATGACATGTTCCTGTGTGTCATATGACCTGCTTAAAGTATTACGAAAATCTGTGGCAGAACTCACATTGTCATTTTGAGGAGACGAACGGTTGCTTGCCTGAGCGGGAGCACGAGGTCTGGCACTGCCTGGTCGTGGTATGGATGTTTGTTGGATTTGTTGTTGGTAAGAAGTTGTATGAGAGTCCGGTTTAGGATGATCGTCCACAACTGGGTCATGATTTTGGCTCATGTATGTATTATTGTACTGATTACCAGGTGGAGTATCATAGTCACCATTAGACGCGTGTGCTCTCTGGCCTGAAGGACAATGTGTTGGGTGAGTAGAAGTTTCCCGTACATGGTCAGGCGTTTGTTGACTTTGTAATACCATGGGAATCTCATTAGTTTGTTTGTTTACACTATTTCCAGCTGAAGTATATGGTAACACACTGGAGAAATCGTTCAGTCTGTCTACGACAGACGCATTTAATTTTTTAGATGAAGACGTAACAGTTACAACTCGTGGTGATCGTGGAACGATGCATGCCCTCTGCTTGGGAGCCATTGGCACATATCGAGGGATACTTGTCATGGATTGTGAGGAAGGGTCCTGTGATTGTCGAGGTGATAAGGCACTAGTGATCGGTTTTGAATCAACCCGGGAAGTTAAATTTTCTCTTGGACTAATAGCCGGTGGAAGAGTTGACGTATTGTCAGATGTAGAATATTCAAGTACATTCTGACTCACAGCCTCAGTGTATACGGGGTTGACGTTTGCCTTTGCCGTTCGTGGACGAGATAGCCGTCTTGCGGGGACAGGCCTAGGTTCTTCTGACTCTATTTCTGTTGAACGGGAATGGGCTGTGACAGGACGTATAGATATCCTGGTACTAGGTGAACGGTCTGGCCGAGCAGGCAGCTTCCTAGACGCAGGTCGTAAGGAATCCGTGTTATCTGGTTTACTTTGACGAATACTTGAGTGCCGCGCGCTCAAGCCATGATCCGGTGATCGTACACGACGATTACGATGTATTTCAGCATAACCAAGCGGCGGATGCTCTTTCTTAGTTTTCGGTCGGTATGTATCTTTACTCGCTTCATTCCTGTCGTATGATGGAGGAAAAAGTTCCATTGCCCTGTCTTCAGTTGATACATGTTGTGCAGTTTTTGGCCTCCTCTTGTCATGTTTGATGTCGCCAGTCTTCACAGGAATTCCACTTCCTGGTCGGGATATACTAGGCTTTTCGCCTGCTGCGGTCGACTGAGTACCATCATTACATACCATTGAGATCTGGGTTGCAGAGGGCACCACTCTCATTGGCGTACCTTTGTATGGGCAACGTGTTTGTTTATGGGTCTTTTCAGGCCTTGTTGGTACCTCATTTTTACTGTCTCGCACTTCTTGCCTTTTTGGTGTGACTGGCAGCCTGCGATATTTCTGACTTGGTGCTGGTTTTTCAATTAGAGCTTCCTGATCAGTAGCGTCTTTATCTTCTTCGTAAGGAATAAACGTGTTGTCGTTTGGTAGTTCCTCTATGTCACTTACAGTGTCATCAGCATTTTCTGCTGTTGGAATCCTGACCACAGGTGATGGAATAGATGATCTCTTTTCGACTGAACCATCACTGCCGTATCGGTTAGAGGAAACAAAAGAAGTGGTCGGACGTTTGCGAGGCTTAGGAGATGGTCGAGCCCAAGTAGCATTAATGTCTTGATCTGCAGAATCGTTAGTGGACATTTGATGAAGATTCGACAAAGATGGCTGTTTCACTAGCGACCGCGACTGATATTCTCGTACCAGCATTTCCTCCTGACTGGGTGTGTTCGTGTCATCACCTTTGTTATCCTCGATATTCGGAGAATATCTACGGCTGTTGTTATATTGGCGAACTGGTAAAGATGTTTTTGGGCGGGGTTTTATATTAAGTCGTTTTTCAGCTGCTGCAATGATGGCTGATGAAGGTGATGGAGATTTGTTAACACCCTTCATTTTCCCTGCTGCTTCTAGTTCCTTCATCTGGATAATGTCACCAGTTGTCAGGTGAGATTTTATTTTGGCCGTGCGTTCGTTCATTTTATTACGGTAAGTGTTAATATCTCGGCTATCAAGATTGAGGATACGCATGGCATATGCTTCCTCAACGTTTAGGACGGTGATGTTCTTCTCAAGGCGGCGCTGTTCCTTGATGTTGGACTTGACAGCATTGGATTCGAACTCCGCGTGAGCTCGCTTCTGCGGTATCGACATCTGGACGAGAAACAAAGATAGTGTGAGTTACGTTTTTGACACCCATTTATGTTTATTTTTGTTTTCGTTGACTATACATACTCAACATAAAATTCTAACGGAATGAAAAGTAGCATAACAGAGTAATATTAAGGGCACAGCATAACACTTAAACAGTATGGAAACAGGTTAACACTGAAACATTAAGGAAACAGAATAATATCAGCATAACACTAACACAGTAAGGGGTATAGGATGACCCTTTACCGACAAGTAATATGGCGTAATACTCTTTTGGTAAGGAATATATAATAAAACTGTTACGATAATGAATATAACTTGATATTCTTTTTCATAACGAATATAACATTACACTGTTACGAGGAGGGACATAGTTAATATTTTAACATTATTGAATAGAGAAAAGCGCTGCAACAGAAAATAGCATAGGACTAAAACAGTATATCAACTAGCATAACAATATTACCGGAAGTCCAAGAACGGTTATGGATAAAACAATAGAAACATAATAGAGATGTAACGAGAAGGTAAATAACATAGCGTCAAGCTTGACATTATATAACAAGAATCTTTATAAGGGAAAATGATATAGCAAAGCACTGTACCAAAATAGGAAATTAACATAGCACAATAGCAGTAAGGAACAAAATATGATAAGTATAACGGGAGACAGTAAGGACATGCGTATATAACATGTCAGTTTGACAGGAAGTACAATAAGGAATATACTTTGTATATGTATCGTAGCACTATAATAGAATATTGCACATCAATGTAGAGTTGTATTATAATTATCACGATATTGAATATAGCATAGCTGTACTATATTAATTCCAATTCTCATCATCTGAACTCGGTCGTGGGCAATTTAAAATTAGAAAAGAGTTGTTGCAATATGCATTTCATAGTGAGTCCATATTTTTGCGAGAGACGGCATGTATCTACCCGCTGATTAAGGGAACATTATATTTGAAAAATGTCTGCAGCATAAAAAAATCAATTTTACGCATGTTCAAACATCATGAATATGGCTCATTTTGTTCTAATCTTGAATGAAACAGCTCCCATTAATATTTACCAAAAATCAAACTAAAGTATCAGGATTGTTACATTTCGAACAATACTTCGAACATAAATTTATAATCGTTAAAAGCATTTACTAAGACAATATGCTGTTTTTTTTACACAACTAAACGATCATACAATTAATCGGTTTAAAGTGAATTGACAAACATTTGATTACAACAAAATAATTCTATATTTCCTCGGTGACCTTTAGACTATTATATTCAATAATATCAGCCATGGTTATTTAAAATTCAGGACTAGCTCGTCTAATACGTTACATGATATAAAAGCTGTAACCGATTAAAATGTATACCCGTACGCATGAAAGATAACATCATCCTACCTTTACTGTTGTCAGTCCTGCACCTCCGAGGTAGTTATAGCGAGCTATACATATAATGTGTATATGCCATTTTGATTCCTGTCGTCCTTTCTTCGTCTGCCATTTTGATATTTCTCTGTAGTAACGATACCAATAAAACTGTGCATATAGGACCACTACACGTTAAGATTGTATCCGATTACTCACTCTTTACCTCGCGTTCACTAATAGGGATTATCCAGATTGGCATGCATTGTTATTTTATATGAATGTATTGTCCTCGGTGCATTTAAACCATTTGGTGTGTTCAGTACTTGATCCGGACGTTGTAGCCACAGGAGAACATGTAAATACCCACTGGACCTCTTGTACCAAAGGTTAGATGTTAATGTACAGTAGCTTATCCTTTCGTGTATATTACAGGGGTAAGGCTGTACAGACTAGTTCTATAATCCTTCAACCTGTTTTCTTACTGTTTCGATACAACCCGTGAACAAGTTAATAATATGTAACATGTAAAGTATGGCTATGAGTTGATAATTCGACTGACTCATTTGTTACGATATTAAATCGTCGTCTAGTGACAATTTATTTTGATATTGAGTAATAATTATTTATGAAAATATAACGGAAAGTTATATATAGTTACTGAAAACAACTCACTTGGGAAAAATGGAAGACAAAACTGAAATGTTCTAACGTCAATTCCGTCTTTGCGTATTGCAGAGTTATCTTCTCTTGGGAGCAGGTATTGATTGTTACGTCATTGGTATTTGTGAGCAAATTACGTCGTTTTCTGAAAAATTGATGACGTTACTCTCACAAACAAGTGACATAACAATCAATACCTGCTCCCAAGAGAAGATAACTCTGCAATACGCAAAGACGGAATACAACTGTGACTATTTAGGAAACGTAACTTTTAACTATGAAATTCATAGTCAGTTTACATTTTGTTTCATCTGCATATCGCAAATTGTATATTTTCGTTATAGTTTTGTAGCCGGATAATTCACAAAGTTTAGTGTAATAAATGAACAAACGATAAAGACTTTATATTTGTGAAACTACAACTTATCTTTGTAATATATATTTTTTTAAATTTTATATTTAATTAACAACCAATAAGTGGAAACATATTAGCGATATTGTATCTGATTTCTCAATTTCTTTACCCATCAAATAAAGTGGGAACGTATCAACATTGATTTTATAATAAAGGAGGGCACACATACTATAATGTCCTTATGACCTTTTATGTACTTAATTTCAAATCAAAAAGTATCACTGACCCATATTTACTATTAGGTGATTCTTACGTGAACCAGTGTATGTAGTTACAATTGCTAAATGCTACATCCAGACTTTCAGTGAGGCCACTGTTAACTAGTTGGATGGACCATACTCTACTGTTTAAGTGATTTGCACTTATACCAGTTCCGTAGAACAGACGTTATAGTTAAGGATGTCATGTTTTTTCATAATACTATATAATATATCTTATGTACCATGACTGCCTTTTGCTATATATTATTTTGGGTTTCCAGCTGTTTAAACCACTGTTCCTTAGATAGATATTTTCGTTAAAATTGACATAAAGATAACTATGTGTTCCAATGGTCTCATGTACTTGCAGTTTGGCGACTACTTTATAAATTCTCATCTAACCTTACCTTGAGGGTGTGACAGAAATCTCCTACCTGAAGGGGAAATTTTGTTGTCTATCTAAAGGCTCTACTGAGATTATGACAACAATATAGTCAAGCGAGGTTGAGGATTTTTCTGTTACACCCGCAAGGTAGGGATTATTGTTTTATCATATCCTATTGTTCTAGTCACAACTTAATTCATAGACAGTATTCCGGCATGTTTGTAAATAAATGCACATGTTTGGTATGAATATCGCAACATTTACTTTTTATCACGTCACATTTCATCGGCTGTTACGTGTATTTTAAGGTTATCTTGCTGACTTTTTCCAGCTTAAACTGAAGATACATAGGCGAAAGATGATAGATTAAATCATCGCATCTTCAGTACAACGTCACAAAGGAAAACTTACTATTCATTTTGTTAAGTTACAATTCAACAATGAATATATATAGTGAATGCTATGTATTTCATAGATAAACAAAAATCTGTTTCCCCAACACTGACTGAATAATAACACATCCAATTAGCGTTGAATGAAGCTATACTGTACATATCTAAAAGGTGGCATAATAAAACGAGTATAGCTTATTTTGTAAAGGATATTGAAATTTTACCCAAGATTGCCAGATAGCATAACTGCAAATGTCCTGACCTAAATAAACAGTTTTAAAGAACATAAAAACAATGGATCTTCTTCATAAGGTACTATTTAACTTACAGCATAGAGAAAGGATATGCCACTTATAAGTTAAACAAATTAAGCAATGCCAGCAAATATGTTATATCATTGTTTTATTGCAGTGAGTCGATGTCAGTTGTCCACTGATGAAAATGTAAATTTAGTGACATTACGTTTTACGTTAGAATTTCTCCTTGTGTGGCACATGGTATAAGAAGAGGTAGGAGAAAAAGCAACATTAACAAAATACTAGATAGGCATCTCCTATAAAACAATATATGTGTTGTACATGGTATATTGTACGAACAATTAGGCAATAAAGAAACACTGCCTTAAACATAATCAACAGAACCATTGTTTTATAAGCTTTCGAAAATTAATTTTCTATATGTTTACCATAACAGGTTGTGTCGTCGACTCACAAATAGCGATATGATGAGATAAACACAGAATGATGATACTTGATTTTTGATTTTTAGAACTTTTCTCTCTAAATATTTAAGATTAAGTCACTTACATAACGGAAGAAACTGACAAATCTGAACGACCCCAAACTATAACTTATTTATATACGAGATCCAATGATGTTAATAATTTACTTAACGAAAATGACCTAATACTTTAAGCCACTTCACAAATTAACTTATCTTTATGATATGCTCCTAACTACTCTAAGGCTGGGATTTATATCAGTTAGGTATATACAAAAATTAAGTCACAATAAATATTCTCCAGATAGTTTGAGTCACTATTTCACATATAATATTTGTGATTGGCATTGGTTACATCTCCTCACCATTTCTCATTGCGCTTAGCAGTTTCATTTGTGCTGAAGCTAGTGTAACTATACCAGAAAGGTCGATTCTGTCTGAAGGCACTCTAAGATACCGACACTTATTGACATCCTTCCACATCTCCTGAGCACGACGTTTCCTCTCCTCTTCCGATATTGAAGATCTGTGTATACCTTGCCGCATTTTATTAAGCCTCGATGCCCTGGCTCGATCCCCAGCCTCCTTGCGTACCTGGCGGAGAACGTTGTCAGGAACATCCATGGTGGGAGCAATTATAGACATCTGCCGATTCCTTTTCTCCATCTCTCTGATGTGTAAGTCGATTCGTTCTAGATAAAAATCTTTTTGGTCCAGAAGTTCCTCCATCCGTTCCTGTTCCCCCGATAACATCCTCTGTCGCCTCTCCTCATACGGGTCCTCTCCTAGGTACTCGCCGATCCTGTTGTCGTCTCCTCCAGAGAAGATGTCTAGTCTAGATGCAACTGCGCTCTCTCGGTCCTGCATCATGTGACAAGAGAACTGACCAGCAGACGCAGTGCTGTATCGCGTGGCATTAGAAACACGGCTCAGACTTTGTCTGTCCGGTCCGATGTCCAACCCGTCATCACATTGATTCGTCTTTTTGGATTTGGCTACCTTATCTAAGTTTACTGTAGAATCATCCTGACTTTCCATGTTTTTGGATCTTAATTGTTTACCTGTTGATGGAGGTCTTTTCTCAACAGTTCTGGGAACAGCAAGAGAGTTTTTGTTATTTACATCGGTTTCTTGTGGTGAAGTATCTGGAAAGACCGACACTGATTCAGTGTCTATTCGAACATGCATTTTTTTATGACCATTTTGTTTTGGATCATTGACATCTTGTTCTGAATAACAATTTTCTGATTCTCGGATTTTTGTCATAATACTTTTTACGGAGTTGATAAGGATTGATGCTGGTTTAGTTTCAGATCCAGATACCTGAGGACTACGCGGACTTCGTGGACTTTTCGGACTTTTGGCATTGTTGTTATTGGCAGTATCCAGCTCCAAGGATCGCTGGGAAAACTGACCAGGCCTTGGTATTTTATTTCCACGAGAAGATTTACTACGCGACGTCCCTTTAGGCAACTCTGCGATGTCAAGCATTACACCTTCAATAAATGAAAAGACAATTAAATTAAAAAAAAAAAAAACGTGCCGAGAAATGCTCGTAGCATATTTATATAGCCTAAGTCAGGGGTACCGCCTTGATAAAGCCCTTATTAAATGTAATGCCAAAATACGGTGGATTTTTTTTTTTGGTAAAACAATGAATTGCTAAAAAGAGCTGATCGGTCTTAACTCGTCAAGTTCTAACTAGTGTGACACTTACCGACTGAGTTCCGCTTAGAAGTATCATGCCGAGCATTTAATGAAGATGACAACTGTCTCTCCACTGCTCCACCGGTCGTGTTTGGCCTCTGGTGTCCTCTGTCATGTGGTGTCAGACACTCAAAACTACGTGTGTTCTGCCTCATAAGAGGATGTGCACTCCTCGCTTTTCGGGTATTTTCTGTGCTTTGAATTTTAAGACGTTTCTCCGCGTCTGCTATCCTTAAGGCTCCGCTAATATTGACAGTTTTGTTTATGATCGGCATTTTTCCTTTAGCCTCTAAATCATGCATTTCAGAGAGATCATCAGCACTTAAGTGAGATTTGATCCGTGACACCTTGTCTTTGAAGCGCTTGTAAAACACTCGGATTCCTCTGTTGTCAAGGTCGATGAGTTTGAGAGAGTACACTGCCTCTGTATCAAGAATGCTTAAGTTTTTCTGAAGACATCGTTGTTCCTTTAAATTAGACCTGAAGGCATTAACTTCTTTGTCACTGTTAAGAATCTTTGATCTGGACATGATCTGGAAGACGCAACGAAAAGTAAATTTAATAATTATTTATCACATCTTGAGAACACTTTTAAAATTGTATGACCTTCATCATCTTAGAAATGTAAATTTCAACAAGTCTAGTATATAAGATGTGCCTTTTAAATGTGATTTATTTCCAAAAAATATATTCATGCAGAACATTTATATAGCATCCTGCATTAATAAAATTAAATTACTATCGCTTTACAGTGGATCAAACACTTTTTTGTTGTACAAACACGTAACACTTTTGTGTCTTATTTCAACATTTTATAAGATTAAATATTGCTGTTTATCAGCATACACTGTTGGAATTAGACACTAGAATGAGACGCTTTTAGAAACTGATGTATTTGGTCTATATTTTCTGTATCTATAATGTATACATATACAATTCGATAACTATTGTGTCCTCATAATTTATGTACATTGTACAAGGATGTAAATACAAAATCTATTTGTGTGTTAAAATGTTATTTAACTATCTCTTTGCTATGCTTTTGTAAAATAACAGATGAATCAGGAGAGTTTTGGGGAGTTATCCAACACGTTTTTGTGAGACAGGTCAGTTTTTGGGCGTTAACCAACGCGTTATGTGAGACAGGTCTGTTCTGGGGCGTTAACCAACGCGTTATGTGAGACAGGTCAGTTTTGGGGCGTTAACCAACACGTTGCGTGAGGGGGTTAGTTATGGGACGTTAACCAACACGTTGTGTAAGACAAGTTAGTGTTAGGGCGTTAACCAACACGTTGTGTAAGACAAGTTAGCTATGGGGCGTTAACCAACACGTTGTGTGAGACAGGTTAGTTATGGGGCTTTAACCAACACGTTGCATGTGACAGGTTAATTTTGGGGCGTCAACCCACACGTTGCGTGAGGCAGATTAGTTTTGGGGCGTTAACCAACGCGTTATGTTGGACAGGTCAGTTTTGGGGCGTTAACCAACACGTTGTGTGAGACAGGTTTGTTTTGGGGCCTTAACCAACACGTTGTGTGAGACAGATTAGTTATGGGGCTTTAACCAACACGTTGTGTGAGGGGGTTAGTTATGGGGCGTTAACCAACACGTTGTGTTAGACAGGTTCGTTTTTGGGCGTCAACCAACACATTGTGTGAGACAGGTTAGTTATGGGGCGTTAACCAACACGTTGCGTAAGACAGGTTAGTTATGGGGCGTTAACCCACACGTTGCGTGAGACAGAATAGTTTTGGGGCTTTAACCAACGCGTTATGTGAGACAGGTCAGTTTTGGGGCGTTAACCAACACGTTGTGTGAGACATGTTTGTTTTGGGGCGTTAACCAACACGTTGTGTGAGACAGGTTAGTAATGCGTCGTGAACCCACGCGTTGCGTGAGACAGGTTAGTTATGGGGCGTTAACCAACACGTTATGTAAGACAGGTTAGTTATGGGGCATCAACTAACACGTTGTGTGAGACAGGTTTGTTTTTGGGCGTTAACCAACACGTTGCCTGAGACAGGTTAGTTTTTGGGCGTTAACCCACATGTGCGTGAGACAGATTAGTTTTGGGGCGTTAACCAACGCGTTATGTGAGACAGGCTAGTTTTGGGGCGTTAACTAACACGTTGTGTGAGACAGGTTAGTTATGGGGTGTCAACCAACACGTTGTGTGAGACCGGTTTGTTTACGGGCGTTAACCAACACGTTGCGTGAGACAGATTAGTTTTGGGGCGTTAACCTACACGTTGCGTGAGACAGATTAGTTTTGGGGCGTTAACCAACGCGTTATGTGAGACAGGTTAGTTTTGGGGCGTTAACCAACACGTTGTGTGAGACAGGTCATTTTTGGACGTTAATCTATACAGATTTTTTCTCAAGGATATATTTAAAATGGATCTAAGTTGAACTAAAGTTACTTTCCTGAAAACTTGGGTTTAAATGGGTGAATCAACAAATCATTTCATGAACAATGGTGGAAACATGTAGAAGTGTACCTGTAAAATCATCAGATGGTTTACAAACCACGGACATATGGAACCCTATAACATGTTATAGTATAAGATGTATACAAATAATGGACATATAGTACCCCATAACATATAATATCATGCATGGTATATTAACAAAGGACGCAACACTTCCAGTACTATCATATAATGCATTACAATGATATTCATCATTTTGTATAAATAATAATAGAATGTCTTAAAAGATGGTGTCTCGTTATTTCTCAAACCTTGATATTAATCAACGTAAGAAGTACCACATACATGATATTATTTGGTATTATTTGTCCCACGTATTTGATTGTTTTAATTTAACAGGAACATGTGATACAAGAAGTTCCCTGTTGTTGGTAAGTAATATACCATGGCTTATACACCATTGAGTGACTGTCACTAAATGAATACTCTTAAAAAACAATGCATATGGTAGTATAAACTTACGTTTTTGTTTAGCCAAAATGACAGAAAGCTGGTTTGGGTTGTAACTACCAGATGATCAGAACCATCATCAACTTCATTGTGTGATTTGATGAGTATTCCAGTCCAACGTCCGTCCTCTTTCCGGATCTTCTAAAGTCTTTTTTCTTCTTCTACGGAACCATGTCAAAATTGCGTTTCTAGTCTCGAAGACTAAATATTTCAAACTTTAATGCAATGGAATACCGACAAGTGTATTCATACAAAATCCATTTTAACTAATCCGTTGATTCCTTATACACAAAGCGGCGATTAACTTAATGCATATTGTGTATACTTATCTGCTCTTAGCCCTTTCCACAAAACAGAATACATGCATAAATAACAACAGGTTGACATTGGTACCAGAGTCTTAGTACGTAGATTATTAATTCCTATGTCATTGTTACAAACCACACATGCATGGCTGTCAATATTGGATTGAATTTAAATTCAATACCCAATACGTAACTGATCTTTTTTATAGTCCCTACACCGTAATACATATACACGTATACATCAGTGTCGATAACAACATTATGTTCTACCTTGTTATAGGATAAATCACGCTGTTTACAGTAAATATATATATCGCATTGTTCTGTTACAAATTCTAAACGCTTGATCTTTAAGATCAAGCTAATATGTCAAAAATATTACTATTTATGGGAACTGCTTGCATTTTAATAAATTACAATGGCTGATTGTTGATATTTTGGTACATGTATTTTCGCTCGGTGCTGTTTCATAGTGGCGATACAAAGATAATTCCTATCGTATTTACATGCAAATATTAAACTAACTCAAGGGAAAATGGCTACAATTTGAGCCGTAATATGTACTTTTAAAGTGACTTTTCTCTCAGTACAAACCACTACATGTAAGGCCTATGTTGTATGTTGATGTATCTCATTTGTCTTTTTCCTTTGTATGCATGACATAACTGTCCATGGAAGGAAAGGGATGTGACACATGTCTATCTCTAATTTTAATGCCCATGTATGTATGTTAGGGAAATTCCACCCGTGGGTCTTTCAAATTCCAATTTGAGAATAAAATCGGGTAGACTTCCCCTATCCTACAAATCTAGGCATAAAATAGTCTTACATTTTTTATGGGGCTTAATGATTCAAAAAGTGAACACAAATTAACAACACTTAGAGACAATGCAGTCCGAAATCTGCCAGGAACAATATGACTGGTTAAATTAATTTGTGTTCACTTTTTAGGTAGTCGTGTACCACATGTGCTGCATTATAACTCGGGGTTTGACCAGGACCATCATACTGGCTACCAACACAAAGAATTACGAATGAAGGAATGTTTACCACATTTCAAGTTGTAAATTGTGAACTAAAAATGGATATGGACATGTGTAAGTTGTCAATCTCACTTTCTTGGCTGAAATTTTTATGTTGTTACTACATGGCAGACTGTTTTGATGGAAACAGTTTACGAATACAGATTGTTTCAGTGCTATCAGAGCTATTACAATTCATACGACGGGACTCTTACAAAAACCTTATCCTCATATTGCATTATAAATCAATGGAAACAAAAAAGCAACCATGTCTAAAAGAAAATCTTATTTACCATTATCGAAATTACAGGAAGGCCAGTCCTTATCAACGGTTGAATAGTTATAAATGTTTATAGATTGCAATTTACTCCACAATAAATCAATAATCTTCCATTTCCTACACCTATCGAAATTTCTGTAGTCAGTCATATCCTTAAATTTTTGATATCGCAAAAAAATGCATAGTTTTAAATGTTCTTTACAATAAATCATTTATTTCCTATTTCCTATCGATATTGTTCTGTTCAGGACATTATTGTCTAAAATCTCACCTTAAGTTTTATCTATCATGTAAGTACCATAAGGTTATTATTGTTGACGCTAATGTGACTTATAGTCGCATGACAGATGCATTACTTCACTTACCTTATCGTCTGTGTAAGGTCAGCAGTTGACTATTGGGGACGCTTTTCTGTCATTTAGTATCAGTAAAATATACCAGATCTGGTCCGAGCATTGGTATACAATGGACAAATTCCTAGTAGTTTTGCTGTCATTGTCTCTTCTGATTGGATTGGCGGTTTCCTCAAGTAGGTTATTGTATTTTGTACACTGTCAATTACACTTGCGGTCATGCATCTTATAAGATATCAAGGAAAATTAAGGATTGGATAAAGAACTGACCGATATTGGGAATTAACGTGTCAATCTTTCACTAACAAAACTAATTGGCGAGTGGTAACATCCTGTATCAATTACAGTTACATTTTCATGTCTTATATTTTGCATAATGTAATCAGATATGTACTAAGCTCCGAAAGAAAGAAAAAAAGGGAAAAAACCCATACACTTATTTGTTTCTGGCGATATTATATATAGATGTATCAAGGTATTAACCGTGTAGGTTTATAGAATAATATATTGTCTTAACTGAAGTTATTAAACAGGAACAGCCTGTTTGTGTAAGATTATTTCAAAATAACCTTTTTGTAAGTCAACCTGTAGGTAGATGAAGGTAACATTCCCTATATGTTTCTCGTTTTCTGTGTACTTACAGTCATGCATACTGTATAACAAAGGAGATGATTAACTTCATTAAAGTCATTACACCATAGTTTTGATATCTAAAACGCATACGTACGACGTGTTTTCTATGGTGATTTGTGGAACTAAAGTTCAATTATAGTGCTGCCTTGAGTTCTATTTAGTATGCGGTTTTTTTTCTCTTCAGCTGTAGATGATAAGTTGAAGGAGGACTTTGATGTGAAGACGACCGTACACTGTAAGTACACATACCGCCAGTATATCCTAGGTCTTCACGCTGTCAGCACACACCATTAAAGAAAATCAGTTTCCATTTTACTATGGTGACTGATTTGTGCCATTACGTCTTTTTGTTATTTGGCTTTATTCGAACATAATTTTTCAGTCCTGTCGTATTCTCGCGACATGAGATTGATATGCCAAATCAACCAAGGGTAAAGTCAGTTGACAGCCAATAACTAATAAAAGATGCACTGAAGCGATAATAAGAAAAATGAAAAGAACCATCTGATCTGAATTTGATTTTTAAATTTGTTGTTAACTAGTATTCCTTTAACCTTTTTAAAATTAATAATTAAGGGTTGTACATGTACACACCTGCCCTTTGTTTTAACAGTACATGTAGTTTAGACAATTGTTTTCCATCTATTTTCGCCCCAGCATCACCGATGAGTCATAGAAGCTGTATGATGCGGTCTATTTCATTTTTTGGATTACTGTCTCTATAACCAAAGTTTAACGATGCAATCACCTGTTTGTGCGTGTTAGTTTCATCATTGTCATCAAATTTATGATAGTGAACTTAGTTTATATTACTCGTGTCTGATGTTGCCTACTACATTTTTACATAATAACTTAATATAAATTGTTTACGAACATCAACGGAGATTGGGTCATTTCTTCAGATGTGATAGCGAGTCTGTAGATCCAGTGCCCAGCTGGTAATTTTATCTACATGTTCTTACCGTCATTTGTAAGTCAAGTCATGTTTCAGTTTATCTAGAGAATTTGTTGTAGAGTTATATTACCTTTGTATATTAATGTGTAGCTGTCGATTTAAAATCGTGCGTAATATGTTAAATAATTTCATCTGTACAGCTGTTATATGATTTTTCCTAACACCAAATGTTGTTTGGTGTATGACGGTCACCTAGCTTTACCGTTGTTGTATGTTATTTTAAACAGCGAAGTTTGGATGGTGTATGCCAGCTAGGTTCGGCAGATGTATCAGCAATGAGTGTGATCACCAAGGGGATGAATGCTGCTGCCCTCCTCTCTTCCCCGGGAAGTAATCTAGGACTAGTGGGCAAACTCCAACTTTCAAAATAAACATGTGATGTTTGAAAAAACGTACAGTATATCAATGCATACTATGTCTTTCTTTATATATCATACCCACACATCACACATAGCACATACCACAAACATGCTGTTACTATTGTAAATAACTATTAATATGATAAACAAAGTGTGGATATGTTTTTCATAATCCATTCATTGCTTGACATAAAGCTTCTTACGTCATATAGGACTCAAGCCAGTAAATAACTTACTAAATGTTATTACTTTACTTTGGAGCTTTTAGTTTTCCTATTTGAAATTCAACCTAACTGACAACTTTCTACAGTCTTAGGTACATAAATAACAAAGGCTGCGAAAGATATTTTTGACAGGTTTAATGGTATATAAGAGCGTTACAGCCGTCATTTGTTTACAACAGGAAGTGTACAAGCCAAATCAGTGAAGCGGAACGGAACCCCCACCCCCACTGTTAACCCCTTCATAAATCCTTCATCAAATGTTAAACTTGATTAAAACTAGACATTTTTCCAAATATAAACAACCTGTAGATTTCATTAAGATATTTTGTAGACACGTTAAGGGAGCATCTGAATCAGTTTTAAAAATCCATATTCACGCTTCGATTGTTTTTTTCATTCCTATAACGTCTAAGGCCACACATGTATGCTAGAAAATAAAAATATGCTGTCAAACATATTACAAAGGATATTAGCGGAGTCTTTTTTTCCGGCATCGGCGACGATTTTAAGACATTCGGATCACGATTTTGAACTACATCTATCAATATCGTATATAGGACTAGAGTGATGTTAGGTGATTATCATGATGTAGATTTTTTGCCAAATTGCGCCAAAGAAAGGAAAAAAGTTTTGGTCAAAGTATATAGATTTACTCCATAGGATTTTGTAAGTTATCCTCCTTGTACATACTAAAGTATACACAAATCGTCGTTGCTCATGGAACAGTCATGCTTCATATATGACCAAAACCTATATCCCATATGGCCGGGATTCCATGATCTTCTTTGCTACAATTGAACTTTCTCAATTGTGACCTGGAGGTACATAAAATAAACCATTTGGTCATCTTCTTGTCATTATTACCACGGAAGGGTATTGGTGAATGTATAACAAGTATAATGCCATATAATATGACAACATTTAACAATACAATAGAGAATAGAGATAATGTTTATAGACTAAATCTTCTTACAGATATAAATGACAGTAAAATGTGAATATGAAATACTGTTTAATATGAACACAAAGGTTAACAAAACAATTAAGACAGGACATGGCGGTTAAAGATTAAATCTTCATGCAGATAAAACTAATATAATGGTGATGAGGTTCACAATCAAAATACCGCTGAAGATATTTTTAATAATAACGCACTTCGATTATCTGCAGAAAAGCGTAAAAAATTAAGCGTAGTGTATGTTGCAATTGATCTTCATGGAATACCACAAAGAACACTTCCATACACATACTCGTTTTCTAGAATGATTGTCAATGATTGAACTCGGTCATAAATAGCACTATTTTGAAGTTTCGAGTACGAACGGAAACTCTCTTTGCTGTTTAATACTCCTAATATGAAAAGGCTAAGTCTATAAAGAGCGTAGCTTTTGTTGATCTCTGATACTTACTGATTCAGAATACTGCTTTCAGAATGAGATAAAAGAAACCTTTTTTAAAGTCGGCAAGTCGAGGAATAACAATAAAACACAAACTCAAATGAGATTAAGACCGACAAAACAATAGGGAAGACCGGGGCAAGGTCGGCCCTTATTTTTAAGTCCGTTCTGTTCGGACAGGCATTCGGGTTCCCCCCATTGGAATTAGCGTAATTATGACATCAGAAAGCATGCAACGTCAGATATTAGGGCTAATTTTACGACTTGTTATGTGTTAAATGGGCCGAAAATGTCACGGTATCATTGGCCGAACCTGTTCGGGCCCAAATTGATATTTCAATCAATTCTTATCGTACAGCAATATAGTTGTGAGTGCTTGGCTTGGCTTTTATGTATTATCATTTGAAGCTGTCAGTATGTAACACGTTTGACCGTAAGAAAGTAGCAAATCCGTTTCAAAAAGTTTGCATAACTAGAAACGAGATCATGATTTTCTTTCTACCCTCTCAAAAGAAGTTTTCTCCTGTTTAGTAATTTTACATTGGAGTTTTCCTGGACATTTTTTCGTAGAATGCCCAGCCAACTAAACTGCTAATATCCTTAAAAATCAGGGGTGGCCGGACTTGCCCCGGTCTCCCGTATGTAGATTTTTTGTATCATTGATGATTGATAAAAATGCATTCACAATACATGTTTTTTGCATCAATGACGCCATTTTCTTCCAGTTAAAGCTAAAGTAGATATGTGTTCTTGTGAGTAACGTATATGACGGATCGGGTGGTGCAGTGGATAGTGCGCTCGTCTTCACCAAGATGGCCGGATTCAATTCCGGTCACCTGCCCGACCACGCGGGTTTTCTCCAGATATTCCAGCTTTCTCCCTTCCATATTAAGAATTAAATCCTCTGCGTGCTTCCGTCAGGACACAAAAAGAATGATAGAGATAAGCTGGGGAAAAACTGTTGGGTAATTACTATAGAAAAAAATGCATATTACATATTTGACGAATAGTCTAGGAAAATGTATAAAGATGCTAGTTGCAAAAATAAAATTGAAAAAAGAAAGAATTTTAATACTTTGATGTAACTGAGATTGTCGTTATATTGATATGCAGTCTCAATTACTGTTCAATCCTGAAACACCGAATTGAATTTCAAATTTTGTAACTGTCACCGAGGTTTTACAGGTAATGATACCAAATACAATTTCTGTGTGTAACTAGTTATAAATTGGCACGCGTTGTGAAAAAAGTAATACGTTGCTGAAAAAGGGCGTTGCACTTGGGTTGGTTGTCTGGGAAATTATTGCTGATTTCGACATAAATGCATTTTCCATTGTTTCTTTTATGAGTGGTGATGCATACATAAATTATGTAAAGACTATAACCAGACTTTCAAAAATGTTAATGATTTCGTTCATATTCTCAACAAATGGAAATCAAAAGCTGATGAAATTTTAGATGATGAAAAATAAATGTACACGTAGACCGATTGGTTTAATGCCGGCTCTTTTCGAAAATATCTCCCAATAGAAATATTAACAGAATCGGGTTGATACCAAAAGGATCTTCAGAAAATATCCGCATTTTCACTCTTTGTGCCTGTGGCAAAAAACTCAAATAAAAAAGTCTTGAAGCACCGACAAAGAGATAATTGCAACGGACATCAGTTCCAATAACCGATGAAGGCCGATGGATTGTGACGTGCTTGTGACGTCAAAGTATGAAAATCTCTGAACGAGGTTTCATGCCTGTTAGTATCACATTTTATGTGATAGACTTTTTTCACTCAGAATGTGTTTTAATCTAAATAAACAAGTAATAAAACATGAACATTGTTTTCACTATATGCAGATATTCATGCATTGGTTGAAACACAATTGTCTTTGCTTCAAGGATTCACTTCCTGTTTCCACACTGGAAGTCTACTTCTGGACGAAATAAATGAAAAGGCAAGGTGTAGTAAGGGGAAGCAACTCTCTTTACGCACGCATGTGTTACCATTAAAGAGCTTCGCTCGGGCGCCTTTGGCGCCCGAGAGCATACGCTCTTATTAGAACATTTCAAGGTATGTAAAAAACACAATTTTATATATATCCACTGGAACTAGAGCCGTATCCTGAAGGAGCTGAAATTAAAATAAAAGAATTATTAGTACAATATTACTATTTTTCCCACATCCACCATAGGTTTCCAAACTCCCAACTCAACACCCTGAAAGTCATTCCATTGGTCAATATTCTAATCATGACGTGTTAAAATGTCTTGTGACGTCACCCTTCATTGAGACGTCATACTTCAAATGGCGCTTTCATCCCGATTGGATACAGGAATAATGTATTCCCAAGAGAAACACATGATTTTCTAGATATGATATCTGAAAGTTGTGAGAGAAAGAGATGCCCAAACTCGTGATGGCTAACTATCATGTTGATCCTACTCTTGTCAGTTACCTTTCAAATTGTAAAAGACCCACGGTAAAAATCTCGTGTCTTTGTAAAGCAAACTCGAGTAAGATAAAATTAACCAACCAACACTTGTTCGGGAACATACGTATAGTATGTATATAATACATCAGCATTCAGAGACATTGAAACAAGAAATATTTACGTGATATTTGTTTTGCGAAATTCTTGTACCAGAAAAAAGTAATAATATTCAACATCAGCCTATTTCAAACAGCCATCGCAATTCCAATTATTCAAACGTAGGTATCGAGTCAGCGATTTTCGTACACAAAATTTCCATTTTTCACTATAATAAAATGTGTTCTATACCCGACCATAATTTATTATAATAAACTTCCCATTTTATAACGCAATTGTTATTATCACTTTGCTTATTACCTCTCAAACTCAGGTGCTTTCGAGATGACGTGTTGAAATTCTGAAAATGAGAGCCTGTCATCATTATCTAGGTCAGCCTCCTTTAGTATCTGTAACAGCACAGGAAGAAAATATCCCCTTATGTAGAATGATAATATAAATATATACATACTTAAGCTATAGTCATCAATCAAATATTCATAAACCTTGTATTAATCAGCAATAACATAATGTGACTTACGTTTGTGACATCTTATTACATGTCTTAGGGAAAAGAAGTCAATGCAATGCACGTTTTATTATACATTTGTTAACCTAAGTGTGAAATAATAAGTAATTTTTACATAACTGTAAGCTTTGAACCTTTGGCGAAAATGGCATTCATTTTTGCATAACACATGTGACCTCATCACTGCGTATTGCTACACTTTAATGACGTAGCACAGGGCGTAGTTGGTACATGTCCGCCTCGAAACAGCCCTCGATGTAGTTTAGTTATGCTAATATGATTAACATTAAACATGATAGGCTTCATTTTAAAGCTCAAATAAGGTGTGTAAGGAACATGATAATAATATCCGACTTGTGCAAATTCTACAAATAAAATTTTGAAAATGTTACTATATTCTGTTTGTTTTGTTGTCATGCTGTCGCTAGGACCCCCAGAGAAAGTTTTACATTTTCCCGCGAAAACACGCTGTTCTCTCTACTGCGTTGCCCCCATGCATAAATAGAAAAAAAATGCCGGTATCATTTTTATTTATGCTTGCATCGGAAAATTCAAAGCACTTAAAATGTAAATATAAAGACAAATTGAAATTACAAATACAAATTTGTCCAGAACGCCAATTTTGTTTTGACATCATGAATGTTGAAAAAATAAATTTTATTCCTTAAATAATTTCACCAGTGACATAACCCGTTTGAAGTTTTAGTCAACGAAAAAATATTACATTTCGCTCTGAAAAGCACAAAAGGTTGATAGACTGCCAATGTCTAGTTAGATTCGGTTGAAGAAAGGGAAAATGTTTACTATTACACCATTTTCTATCAACGGAATCGACGTTAACTGTACAATTCCTACACCTGACCATCTGCCCCGAGCAACAATCTGAATCAATCGCAACAACCGGAAATAGCATGTCGTCATGCATCAGATAGGGACATATTTATACTTTGTTGTTGTTATTGTAAGGTGCCATTTGCTCAAGTGGAAGTATACTAAAGGTGAAATCGTGAGAATTACTAAGTTCTTAGTTGCAATATTTTTTGTTGGATTCGATGACAAGATGATGCAGCAGTCTATAGGCTTTCTAGGACAACAAGATGTGCCCCACTTCTTGTCGACTAAGCAATAACAGCAAAACAAAAGTATGCCATAATGCATTAGATTGAGACATACTTTTCAACAAGAAAACTCAATTTTGAAGCCACACAATTAATGAATTATACATAATTGCTTCCAGTTAGAATGACATGTACATTGACCACATGTAACATAATACACTTCAATATTGTACTTCAATATATTTGCATTCACTCATTGTTGGTATTTTGCCGAGAGGAATTCATAAAATTTCCTTTACGTTCTCAAGAAAGTACGAAAGAAGAGTCCTAATGTCTGAACGAGCAGTAATAAGTATCAGAAAATAAATTTTGACACGTTGCATGCTTTGTAATGATCACAATATTAAAGAATATAAGGGTAAGGGAAATGAAAATTGGAAAACATTAGGTAGATAGCATTTGGATGAAACGATCAATATGTACGACATAATATGTATTCCTGAAAGAGCATACCCATGGTTAAGATACAAAAAAAAAGCACTTATCACTATAGACGCGATCTTTAATATATAATATTGATATAAGCGTTAGCCTACCTCGCCGACTAATCTGTCAACTTCTTGTTTTTTTAGTTCCGTATCTTTCTGCGAGGGACATAGACGTAGCACCATTTTCTTTAGGTCGTCACGTGATATCTCGTCATCGCCATCAAAGTCTGAAAAGTCGAAAATATACCGGTATCATTAATGCAACAATTTGATTCAATAACATTCATAATGTACCCAAAATAACAATACCAATGAACAAAACGTTAATCCCAGAATATATATATTGCTTTCCTAATAACAAAATCTCCCGTATAACATACACCCTAAGGACAATCATTTTGTTAATTATCATCTTCACCTGAATACGGTAAGATCTGCCTTAACATACGCGGAAGAAAGGTTGAGAATGACTAAATTCTTGGATGACAATATTTTTGTTTAGTTCGATGGCAAGTTTATCGAGCAGACTGTTGGCATTTCTTTGGGAGATAAAAAACGTGGCCCTCTTCTAGCCGCCACCATTTGCATGTTTCCCCAAAGCTTCATTGACTTTTAGTTCGAATTAGCTTTGTTACTACATGTATCTTGTGTCGGACAACAAACGCCCATTTGAGGCGCTTACGAAAACACAATTAGATCAGGTGAAATTCAGAGTGAAATCAGGACATGGGATAACTACAGTGGGACCACCTTGGAAACAATTCAGGCCGGTACTAGATGAAACTATAGAGTTACTCAAGGCTGACCTAGAATTATCAGAGAGTGAATACACGGCATCCACGCCAAATACATCAGAAGAAGACAACGCAATGACTACAAGACTTTGGGATATAAGTCTCTATCCACATCCACTGTTTGTCAGGATGAACTTGAACACTATAACTCAGTTTAATAATATTTAGGGATAAAAGAAACTTGTACTTATGTCTAACTATATATACACATTTATACACATATATATTTAAAATAGTCAATGAATTGTATGTACATTGATAGTATTTCAGGTATTGATACTATAGACTAGAATGCTCATCTACTAATAATAACCGTGATGGAACTTTCTAGAACGTTATAAATAGATATTATCACGTGACGTTACCTGTATTACGTCACTATACACAATATAAATGTGCCCAGAATTTTAGTACTTCAGGGGACATATTTTGTTATCAAATCGTCCTGAAGAAGCCCACTGTTCGGGCGAAACCGGTAGACATACCCAATAAATAAGATTCAACTTATCCTGAGCTTGTTGCGATTGACTCCTACGCTTGTTTCTTAAAGGATGTTTCATTATGTAAACAGTTGTATTACAGCATAGCATACAAACGAATTCACAAAATAATCATAGAAATAATATCTGGTCTGGTGCTGTCTTTGAGAAAGAAAAAAAATCTTAATAAAAATGAAACATGGATCATATATTTTACTTGCCATAAATCTTAAAAGCATATTGTGCTTTTATTTCTTTTGGAGCTTTTTCACTGAATACTGACATCATATCCAAGAAATCTTCAAAGGTCAGGCAACCCTCTTCTGAAGAAAAAACCCTCACTATGCGATCCTTGAATGGATTCATCTGAAATCAATATTCACATCATTTGCTTATTGTGATTTGTTTCTCGTCTACATGAAGCTGAAATAAATTGCATTACACTTTATGCTTCAATGGGATATCACGAATAAGGATTTTCTGTATAAATTATACATTCGGTTGTGTCGTTATAAAATAATTTCTACTTCTGGTGTATCCTTCATGGAGAAATTAGGAGATGGATTTTGGACAGAATTGAAATGGTTTACATGATTGTTACAGAGAAACCATCCAAATGAAGGTCGGAGGAAAACTACTTGTTAATAGCAGGAAAACTATTGATATAATAGTAATAGAAAACAACTATTTAATTGGTAATTACAAGGGAAGTGTTTACATGTTAATAGAAAGACGTATACATCGAGGCTTTAGGGAACTAAATAGTTCCCTACAACAACCATGTATAGTATAGTAACACTGTGGCTTTGAAGCTGAAATTTATTTTTGTTATGGTTTACATGAATTTCTGGCTTAAGTAAAACTATTTGCATTTTTTCCTTTGTGCTATGTTTATACATGTGCTTCTTAACATTCTAAATGTTTCTTTGTATTCCTTTGACCTTAAGTACCAGTCATGAATCCTAAATGAAAGGAAATTCCCGTATGGTGGCGTAAATGTTTACCATTGATTAGCTTACTGTATTAACATACACATCGATAAATAAGTGTTGTCTTACTATGTATTTCTATTGATTATATCAGTATGTTACAATGTTGATAACTCTGTCGATGGAATATTAATCCTCGAGGTTGGCCTTAACATTGTAGCAGGAATTATTCTAACACGGTTTACATGACATACAAAAAACTGTTACGTTATCAATGGTTATCGGGACACCTTTTCCCTTTCATTGTGTTTCTTATGTTCTGGTAACACTTTGAACATTGGTTTTCATTCTTTGACCTTAGGTTCAAATCATCAGCCCTAAATGAACGTCACTGACTTTTTATGTTTGCGGCTTTCATCATGGGCAAACAAACATGTGAAGTAAGTGTTTCTGAATTATGTATTTCTAATCATGAAGCTCCTTACATATGTTAGTTAGAGAGAAATTATGTACATGGTTGTAACGGGGAAACTATTACAAATATTTACAATAATATTTGCAAAAAAACACATTTTTATTCGTGATTGGCAGAATTTCTAGTCCGAACAAAACTTCACATACAGTAACACAGATACATTGTAAAGGGTCATTCTAATAAAAGTAATGACTGTTATCCAGTACAAATATATGGCGTGAAAAAGTGAAAATAATTGCATAGATTAGATTGTTGACACCCTATCTGCAATGTATAAATTCTCATCGATCTAACCGTTACATGTGCAATATACAAAAGGGAAGTAACTCCACTAACGTTATCTGAATAACGACGAAAGGGTTTTAATATTATTTTTTCTGCCAGCTTTTATCCAGATGCATATTTGATACTAACTTGTTAACTTATCAAATGGCAATTTCAGGTGACCACAAATGAATAGCTTTGACTGTGTACAACATACCTTGAGTTCCGGTAGGGACATCACCAGATCCTCATTCAACTTGACATTGCGGTCCCGGTCTACATCTCTTGGACTTAGATCTCGGAAAATCTTAAACACACTGTAAATGGGATGTAAAAAGCATGAAGATGATTTACTATTTTTTTTCTTGTTTTTTTTCTCTCAAAACTATACGCAAGAAAACATACTAAAAGCAGAGGAGAATATGAATAATAAGATATTCTTTACGGCTCATATAACTATTTGTGAAAAACGAGACAAACTGACAAAACTCTCCCAAACGACAACATATTCGGCTTTCTGATGATCAACTACATCACTACTGTTATAGAGAAAATTTGAAGTCATGTTCGCCCTTGAACGAGCAAACGAATTCAACAAGGGACGGTGCTCTAATGTATCGTACCTGTGTAGCTTAACATGGCAGGGTCTAGAGGTTACAGGCGACAATAGTTTATGTTTTATATTTGACAACAATCTAAATACAAATATACAAAACAAAAGTACCAAACATACAAGCACACAAAGTGTTTTATGTACTGGCGAAGCAGACATTTATATAATAAAATGGACCAACTACTGCTGTAGTAAAATAATATGTACTAATAACTAAAAATATGCAATATACATTTATAACGATGGGCATCATGGATCAGATACATATACTTACTGCAAGATTTCCTTTTTCGTAAAATATGTCAGCTCCTGTTGATTGAAAATTAAAGTAAATGAGTAATGATAAAACTAGAAGTAGAATGCAGTTGTTGACATGTTTCATGAAGCAAGATCAATGCAAAACACAAGTTCAATAAACAACGAAAGAAATTACGATTACTGTGTGTCTCTATATGATATGAATCGCCATACAATTACTGTGTGGCCAAACATGCTGATCCTTTATCATCACTGTCTGTCCCTTTTTGAAAGACCTTAATTATTACTGTGTGTCCCTATTTGATAGACATTTAGGATTAATGTGTGTCCCTATTTGATAGACCTTTAGGATTAATGGGTGTCCCTATTTGATAGAACTTTACGATTACTGTGTGTCTCTTTCTGATAGTCATTTACGATTACTGTGTGTTTCTATATGATAGTCATTTACGATTACTACGTGGCGCTGTGTGACAGGCCTCAACGATAACTGTTTGGCCATTTATTATTTCCCTTTACGATTACGGTGTGGCCCAATATGACAGGCATTTGCGATTACTGTGTGGTCTTGTATTATAGGCCTTGACGTTAACTGTGTGTTTCTATATGATAGACCTTTACGATTACTGTGTGGCTCTATATGATGGGCCTTGTAGGACCGCAATATGTTATCAAATATATAATTTTACTTGACGTTATTATATTGTTACACTCCTATTGGGGCGGCAACGACACATTAAAACAATAGACAGTAAAACTAACACCAACAAACGAAACACATCAACCAACTGCAAAACCTTTCTCAGAGAATATATTCACGGTTAATTTTTGTATAATAACTGACCTTATACGTGACATTTCCATTACATTACTGAGCGTAAGGCTATCAAAATTACAGATCGTGTCCTAGTACAATAGTCAGTGTCATGAATACTGACACCCGAGTACCAAAAGTGAACAATAAAGCACCTACATTAACTATGTGAATTGTGTTCGACATACCTGGGTGTCTATACGTAATTACCTTTACAATATTCAAACCCTAACGCAGACCACACTATTTACCTAAAACACGTACAAGTATTTCTCAGTGTCAATGTATTTATTTTGATCTCGAGGCGCATACGACATATACGTGCAACTACATGTAAACAGAACATTAACACAACTGTAAGCAAATAAATCTGCGAACACAAATCAAGGGAGCTACAAAAGAAATCAGGCATAACCTACTTTTGTTCGGCTAGAAAGCGGCCATATTAAATCTTAAATGATCACTGTTCAGCATGTACGATTTCATTTGTGTACATTTTGCAATGAGAAATTGATTTCAAAATTTGAAGTTTTGTCTCGTCGACACTGGTAAATTTAGATATAATTACGTCAGAATGTAATGGGCTGAAATTGGAGTCCTATTCACTGTAGAACACGTTTTCTTTTTAATTATTTTGTAAAGGATGTATAGGTGTATGTATCAGATGTAGCATAAAAGCGTTCTGCATAAATTAACACTAAGAAAGCTATGGAAAAATATATAACATATAGAGAAAGTGGATTTAACGCAGCCACTTTTCCAGTTAAGTCAATACTTAAATGACATTTATGGCGATACAATCCCACTTTTATATCGATTTGACTGGTGAGTGTTTTACTTCCTGTTTGATGAGCTCATTTCCACGAAAGCACATCTGTATACATATTTAATAATTTGTTATGGAATGTTAACACACGTTCAATGCACAATATCGTCTTGCATGTAGGCACACAGTGCTCCAAGTATAAACTTTCAAATGAAACTTAAGGCTTTACGAATATCCAATTGTCATAAAATCACAGACTTCTATGTATATCATTTATTGGTTTGTATTCATGAAATCGTACTCATAGTCAAGCCATTTTTTCTTGTAACTTGCTAAAATCACGTAAAGCAGTAACAAGCGGAGAGTAGACTTTAAAAACCAGCAATACAGCTTTTGATCGATCTAATATTCTTCCAAAATAATTGACAACATGCAAGTTGTTATGAATGGATTAAGGCAAGAAGCAATTCGACTTGAGCACAGTATCTGAATTTGTGCATGAGAACGGTTTCATGAATAATGACCCTGAAGTCTGGAGTATATCAACTGCACATGCCCAGAAGTCCATGTTAAGATGCGAGTCAAGTTCTTATAGCCCAATTGCAATTGTATTTTATCATTTATCCTCATAATATTACATTTAAATAAGGCACCTAAATTAATCTACAGCATATATCATCCTAGATCATAAACGTAGCCTGGTTGTTACATGTATGACTATTAAGGTTAAATCAGTTCACTACGTAAATGAACAACAATGCAGCATTCCATTAATACATACAATGAATATTGGTTTTGTTAAAGGTACAAAACACATTAGAGATATGTCTGTTGTTTAAAACTAAGATAACTCCAGATAACGATTTAAGATAACCACCTGCTACCAGTCACATTATACGTCAATACCAAGGTATTACTAATTCATACACACATGACTGTGTTTCGCCACATCAACGAGCCAGATGTGTCGTTATAATTTTATCGTTGCTTCAAAAATAAAAAAATAAAAATATGTTTCATCACTGTAGTGTTAGTCAAATATCTAAAATGTTACAGGTTTACGGAAAATTGTAAAAAGGAGTGTTCTTACCTGGTAATCTTGAAGCTCCTCCTCACTGAATACGCTCTGTGAAGCACCCATGCTAGTATCCCGCAATAAAGTCTTGTTTCACTTACACTTCAGTATAATAACACATCGTAATGATTACATCATGACCGACCTCTTCAACATTCGACGTGTACCTACATTTGAGTCCTTCTGCTGAGGTAAGCCACAATCTTATCTTACAATCGGGTATCTCCGTACAAATAATCAATACACTTTGACCTGCCTAACATGCTGTGAGTGTTTAAAACGCCATAAACGGCCCGGCTGTGTGATTTACGATGCAACAGGCAAACACAAATAGCAGTTACCCTGTTAACGGTGTGCTTATAAAACTGCTCCAATTGAAACAGTCGTCAAATATCCACGTAAGTGCGAATCACGTCTTCCTGTCGGTGCCTTTTGAAATGTGTATGGAGCAAGGGTCAAGTACATCTATTAGATTTGCATCGGTACGTGCCTACTAGTGCAAGGAGACAACACAGCTGCTGCATCAAATTTCACGTGAATACAAAATATACGTCCTTACTCGACCTCTAAACGACAATTAAGAATAAAACAACCTCCGCTGGTGTTACTCTTTTCGTGGATACGGCCGAGCAGAGAGGTAGATATACTCTGTGTGATGAAAACTGCTTCCTTGTTTGATTAAATAAACGACCAGGTGAAGCCAAAACACTATGATATCAGGGAGTTATTTATAAAACCACACAATGAAACAAGAGGTTGTTCGGTGATACGTGTTATCTGAATGACAAAAATAACCAATGGAAAGACTGGCGTTATCGTGATACACCATACTATCCGGGTATATCGGCGGGTCGATAGCTATACCATTACCAGGGATAGGCCTAATATATCTGGTCGGCCATCATACATAATGTATTCAACAGACCGAAGACGCCAAGACAAAACGCAATTAAAAACATCATATAATTATCTGTGTATCTCCCAATTCTAGATTATAAACATGATATTACTGACAGAGACCTATGATTCACAAGCCTTATCAGATTTCCCAAATTGTCACGAACACTAATATATATTTTTGTTAATGTTAACCTAATTTCATTGATAACATGGGTAATTGAAATATTATTTTACTAAGCCGGAGTTTGGTCATCCGTCTACGGGTTTCAATTAGAGATCAACAGGTAGCCATGAGTAGCCACACGTAGATTTGCTCAATCGCTATTGAGAAGGTGTAAGCAAGCACCAACTACAGATTGTGCTTCTACTATGGGACAATAGTGAAAGGCAAGCACTGTTAATCCTCTTATGAGGGCTGCAAGAACTAGCAGAGGTAGTAGCTATTTTTATGGTGACCGTCTTGTGTGGACCACATCTTTAGGTTCTGTGTGAACTAAGTGCTGTGTGCTGTATAGCTACCGGGGTAGTGAATACTTTATGTGGACGGACCGTTCTCTGTGTGGACACTTTATGTCAGTTGGACTGACTGGTCGTCACGTGAAACCTCTCATATGGATATCTTTGTGGGCCCATCAGCACATGAGTTATGGTTAAGGTCGTCAAATAGGAGAGACGGGACCGAGGACTACAGACCGCGGTGGACGAACCTTGTCATGATCCCTGTATCCAGGCAGTGATTTCATACAGTGACTTATACATTGACTTTGTCAGTATTGGTGTATAGTTACCTGTGTAATGTAGTATTGGTGTATAGTTACCTGTGTAATGTAGTATTGGTATATCTATCTGCTTTGTGTGAGTCTTATGTTGCTGTTTATACTTACTTTATGTTAGAGTGAGAAAGCAAAGGTATATACTACTTATAAATAACAAAACCATAGTGTATATGTTGTAAATTAAATTTTGTATATATTGTAATCCAGTCTTAGTGTCATTCTACACCACACTTGCAGTGTCAAGCTCGTCCATAGTTACACAAATATTGAGTAAAAAATACAATGATAAAGTTATTGTTACGTAAGATGTTTCCTCTGGGCACATTGCAGTGAAGGCAATTTGATATAGGCTCAAATATTTTGTTTAAATAAAGACAGATGGAGTCAGTTTAGAAATAGTGTTTTAAGAAGAAAAAGATAACCATTATTGAAGTTCTTCGTTGAACATGATGAAAAGCTTCTCCACGAAAAACAATGACAAATAATAAGATAAAAGGGCTGAGCGCACGAGCAAAGCCAGAGTGAAACGTAATATCATTATTTCCTTTGAATAGACCATAGATAAACCTATCAGACAGTTGCTAGTTGGAATGAAGACTAGGTTTTTCATCGTTGACATCCATCATTATTGCAATAACTCCCATTACCTTTCAATGTTTGAATCGCATTGTGTGTCTAATTTTAAATAAATTATTGATGTATGTGTTGATACATCTGTCAGAAAAAAAATACAGTTTATCTTATGGGGCAACTTTCCTTAACGAACAAAAATGTTCAGTTCAATTGGTATTGTTGACTAATTCTGATCTGCCAATGCAAAAGCTTTTTTGATATTTATTTCGATCCGTGCATATCGTCCATACCGAATGGTTTTCTTCTATCATTGAACAAACACTGTTTATGATACACAGCATATGCTTTTGTAAGAATTGATGTGTAGTATCAGCGAGTAATTGAGCGGGAACAGATCGCCCTATTAACTTGTGTACTTCCGTAATTCTATGTGATATACATTTCACTCACCTACTGATATTTTCAGCCTCAGTAACTAAAGTAACATTACATCATGAGAAGTAAGTCACGGTTCCTATGAGTTAATGTGTTAAATCTCCGACAAAGGTGTTATTGGGAGCTTTTTTCATAAACATGCTACCCACCACTAATATGCGTCATCTTCTTCAACTTAGTGTAAATTTGTAACAAATGACCCTTGTACTGACCCTGAATCTAGAACTGTTCAAAATATTCTTTTTGTAAAGTGCACGTTTTTTTGTTGTTTTTTTTTCAAACATTTTACTTCCCCAGCACATTTAGGATACTGCCGAGGTTGGGGATCCCCGGGATCAGCATCTTCACAATCATGTGTCCTCATACAAGAGGGCTATCGTACTTTCTTTCATACTTACTAGTAATTATATTATTATTTCTTTATTTTTTCACTGCCTTATTTAATATTTTTACTTACATTCAAACTTACATTCAAAGTTACCGTACACATTATCCTTACATACATATATGCATACACTCCCTTTGCCGCGCCTCCAGGTGTATTACCCTGTACTGGGCCTCACTTCCGGGACAAGTCGGCCTTGACCTTGGCTGTGTGTATTAATAGTAGCAAGATGGAAACACGCCGCCATATGGTAATATAAGGCAGTCCTAAACGTGCTTGTAAATCATTCGAGTATGTCTAACATGTTTGTTTTGAATTTTCTATTGTGAAAGGGTTTTTTGGGGGGGTTGATATTGATGAAGCTGTATTGTAAGATCAGCTTATTTGTTTCTGTGAAGACGCGGAACTCGTTACGCTAAAACAGAAAGTAGAAATGTGGATCGCTATGATGAGTAGGTATATACTAGAAACACTCTGGCCTACAATATTTCGTTATCATTATATTAACTAGTGTATCAGATGCTAGAAGAAAAAAGGTTCAGGTCTTTTTTCTGTTGTATTGATTTCGTTTTCCATAAATAGTTTTCCAGATCTTGTTTCAATATATTTATAACATTTATTGATAAGGTTTTGCATTCACTTATGTGGTATGTTCTGTAAATGGAGTATCCTATTAGTGTATATATAATGTTGGGTGTTTCATATACAGGGACGCTGATGTTGTTTCCCATTACTATAAATTCTAACATTCTGCTTTTGTTTATTTTACATGTTGACATTGCTGAATTTATCTTTTCCCAAAACGTTTTTAAATAGGAGCATTCTACAAAGTAATGCTTATAGTCTTCACATTTCCCACAATGTTTACAATTTGGGGTGTTTGAAATTTTCCATTTTTCAAGTTGTTGCTGTGTAGGAACTATTTGATTAATAAGTTTATATTTAAATTGAACAATTCTGTTATCGTGTATTTTCTTGAATATGAATTCTGATATTTCAGACCATCTTGATTTTCTTATAGATGTATCAAATGTTTTATTCCACGCTTCATATATATAGGGTTTGATAAATTTCTGTTTTATTAATATGCCGTAGGAAGTTTTGCTGTTTAGCTGTTCTATAGAGATTGTTTTATCGGTAGTGCTGTCTAAAACTTTCAATTGTGTTTTGTAGTGTAATGTTGGGTAGGGTGTAAGTTTGAGTTTATTCATCCATTCCTTCGGTATAGCCTGTTTTAATTGGGTTAGATCTGACATCCAGTTTCTTTTGTTTTTGAAGTTTGATAAAATCTTTATTTGAGAGATGGAACCATTCTCAAAAATATCATCAATTAACCCTTAGGCTGCTATATTGATTTCTATGTAAACGGACACCACTGCTGAATTAATTATTGAAATTTAAATTAATTTACTTGATTTTTCAAATGTGCATAACTTGGAAAATATTTGTTACATGTGAAAAAAAGTTATATAAAAATTGTTCGTTGTTGTCTCTAGTTTATATGAATGTTTTCAATTCTAAAGTTGCTTCAGTATTTACCTGTACAGGTGGTGATAAAGGTAAGAAAATGTGAAACTTTTAATTAATCGGATTTAAGCAAGAGGAAGATCATTTTAAAACTATTTTCGTCCGCAAATGTGATTGGCAAATGATAACAGAGATTATAAACTTCATTTTTGACATAAGACGCTGTATATTTACACGGAGATTCTCAGGTAAAAAGGTCAGGTATTCCGTCAAGAATTGCATGTGATTTGCTACAGGTTTCAGGTCAACATTCAATAAATTTACTGTCACAGTCGGCATATAAATATATCTTAGCTACGGTCTAGTTTATGATTAAATCACCGATAAAAAGTTTGAAGAAATAAATCGGCTCAAAACGTATCAATGTCAATGTTCAATTCGGCCTCACCTGCAGACGACATGTGCGCCTCGGTCCGCCGATATTTTCCTGTTTGCGTAGAGCACAAAGCCATTTACTGGAAAGTTACATATTATGTAACAC